GTGTGTGTCTCAGTGTGTAGCAGTAGATGTGTGTGTCTCAGTGTGTAGCAGTATATGTGTGTGTCTCAGTGTGTAGCAGTAGATGTGTGTGTCTCAGTGCGTAGATGTGTGTGTCTCAGTGTGTAGCAGTAGATGTGTGTGTCTCAGTGTGTAGCAGTAGATGTGTGTGTCTCAGTGTGTAGCAGTAGGTGTGTGTCTCAGTGCGTAGATGTGTGTGTCTCAGTGCGTAGATGTGTGTGTCTCAGTGTGTAGCAGTAGATGTGTGTGTCTCAGTGTGTAGCAGTAGATGTGTGTGTCTCAGTGTGTAGCAGTAGAGGTGTGTGTCTCAGTGTGTAGCAGTAGATGTGTGTGTCTCAGTGTGTAGCAGTAGAGGTGTGTGTGTAGCAGTAGAGGTGTGTGTCTCAGTGTGTAGCATTAGAGGTGTGTGTCTCAGTGTGTAGATGTGTGTGTCTCAGTGTGTAGATGTGTGTGTCTCAGTGTGTAGCAGCAGAGGTGTGTCTCAGTGTGTAGCAGTAGATGTGTGTCTCAGTGTGTAGCAAGTAAGGGTGTGGTGTCTCAGTGTGTACCAGTAGAGGTTGTGTGTCTCAGTGTGTAGCAGTAGATGTGTGTCTCAGTGTGTAGCAGTAGAGGTGTGTGTCTCAGTGTGTAGCAGTAGAGGTGTGTGTCTCAGTGTGTAGCAGTAGATGTGTGTCTCAGTGTGTAGCAGTAGAGGTGTGTCTCAGTAGATGTGTGTCTCAGTGTGTAGCAGTAGAGGTGTGTGTCTCAGTGTGTAGCAGTAGAGGTGTGTGTCTCAGTGTGTAGCAGTAGATGTGTGTCTCAGTGTGTAGCAGTAGAGGTGTGTGTCTCCTGCAGCTGGTTCAGACGCTGTCCGACTGGTTTCCATCAGATCCAGTTCCTCTGACAGCCGCCGGCCTGCAGCAGATATTACTGTTCACCCATCGTCCTGCACTCAGACCCTGGTTTGGTTCACACACTCTGGGAAATGATGAATTGCTGCTTTAACACTTCAGTTTGTGCGCAGATGACATATAATATGTTAACGAGGGATCTTTGGAGGTGATAGAAGGAGGATTGTGTTACCTTTATTGTGTTAGCTATGCTAACTGGTTGCTAGCTGTAGCTTCGTTTTTCAACCAAACAAAAGAGAAAGTAATTAATATGCAGCTTGTCAAACTTCTCCTTTTGAGCAAATCTTATTAGTTCAGTTTTTGTTTGTTCTCTTTGGTCACAGAGAAACCCTAAAGACACATGTTCTCCTATCAGTGTCACTTTGACCAGGTTGGTCTTCATGTAACAGGTACAACTACATTTTAAAAGACATATCATGCACATATTCAGGTTCATATCAGTATGTAGTGTCTCTACTGTGACATGTCTCCATGCTCTAATGTTCAAAAAGCTCTTTATTTCTCTCACTGCCTGTGCTGCAGCACCTCTTTTCACCCTCTGTCTGAAACCAGAGCCCAGTCTGCCCTGATTGGTTAGCTGGCCGGCTCTGTTGTGATTGGTCAATGGCTTAGAGATATCCCGCCCCTTAGCCTATCACATACAATGTGTTGGAGCTCTATCCTATAGAAGTGCGAGTGTGGAGGGAAATTTGGGAATTTAGCCTTTGCAGACCATTTACATGCACACAAACCTATAAACACACTACACTTCTTTAAAGTGACTGCAGACTTGGTTGTTCTGTCAGCCATTTCCAGAAGTTTGTCTTTCTCAGATTGTGGTTTGCAAGGCACTGTAGGCAAGGGATCCTGTTTCACACCTGGTATTTAAACCAGAAGACATGTTAGTTGATATTAACCCAATTAACACAAGTCAAGGGGTCTCCTGTGCTTCTAAGGGTCAGAGATGTGTTGTTTTTTGTGTTTAGGAACGGTTTCTAAACTCAGCAACGTCTCTCTTTTCACAACCTCTGTTAAGGTTTGCTGATATAGTTGTTTTGCAAGGTGGTAAATGGCTATATCATACAAACATACGGATTGTGGTCGTCTTTTAACCAGAAGGTTATGAGTTTGATCCCAGCCTGTGCAGTCAACATGTCGATGGGCAAGATACTGAACCTTGAGTTGCTCCCGATGGCCAATGGTGTGTGAGTGTGTGTGAATGTTAGTTCCTAGAGCAAGCTACACTGCTCTGTATGAATGGGTGAATGACTCGTAGTAAGGCAAGGCAAGGCAAGTTTATTTATATAGCACCTTTCAACACAAGGCAATTCAAAGTGCTTTACAAAAAATGAAAGACATTAAGAAAATGGCATTTAAAATCAGTCATTAAAAAGAAAAGATATAAATAAACAATAAAAGAAAAAGTACATGGATAAAAGTTACAGTGCAGTCTAAGATATGAATAGTTCAATTAAAAGCAGCGACAAAAAGAAAAGTCTTCAGCCTGGATTTAAAAGTAGTCAGAGTTGCAGCGGACCTGCAGGTTTCTGGGAGTTTGTTCCAGATATTTGGAGCATAATAACTGAACACTGCTTTACCATGTTTAGTTCTGACTCTGGGGACAGAAAGCTGACCAGTCCCTGAAGACCTGAGTGATCTGGATGGTTCATAATTTAGCAGGAGGTCAGAAATGTATTTTGGGCCTAAACCATTCAGTGCTTTATAAACCAGCAGCAGTATTTAGAAATCTATTCTTTGACACACAGGAAGCCAGTGTAAAGACTTCAGAACAGGAGTGATGTGATCCACTTTCTTAGTGTTAGTGAGGACTCGAGCAGCGGCGTTCTGAATCAGCTGCAGCTTTCTAATAGATTTTTTAGTGAGACCTGTGAAGACACCATTGCAGTAGTCGAGTCTACTGAAGATAAAAGCATGGACAAGTCTTTCCAAATCCTGCTGTGACATTAGTCTTTTAATCCTAGATATATTCTTTAGGTGATAGTAGGCTGATTTTAGTAATTGCATGCCTCTGGGGCGCAGAGGCATGCCAGGGGGGGCGCGAGAGACTAGGAGTAACAATTGTTATAAAAAAAAAAAGATTTAAAAAAAAATCATAATTTGAAAAATTATTGATTCGAAAATAATGTGATGCAGTACAGTACTATTACGTCTGTGTTTCATTAAAGCTCAGCTCTGTGTGTGTGTGGAACGAGCCATTTTGTGTGCGAGAGAGAGAGAGAGAGCGCACCGGTACCGGAGATCGTTGTTGTTAGCTTCTGGTGCTAGCGAGCTACGCTAACCCATATAAGGAGTTTTTTCAACAACAAAGTGGAGGAGAGTCCTCTCCTGTCAGACTGAGAGACTCAGTGAACTAAAGGACTCAGTTATCTCAGTGGGTCTCAAACGTTTTGGTCACCATTAATGTAAACAATTATTTCCGAGATTATTATAGTTTAAAAAAAATAAGAGAATAAATGAAAAACAGCTATGAAATACTATATGACAGTAAAACAAGAATAACGTTTAAAAGGGGAGTGTCAGTGATTTGTAAAATATCTATAAAGAAATAGAAAATCTGTTTCCAGTTCTGTTTCATATGGGTGTTGAGAGAGGTATCTAGATCTCTTCATTTTGCTCTCAAAGTGCACCAGATTGATGCTTTTAACTTCAAGATTGAAACAAATATCTTCCCGGGGGAGCTTGCCCCCGGACCCCCCTATGTGAGGTCCACACACACACCACCTATAAAAATAGCACTTTACCCCTGCGTATGGGGGTATGTGCCGTGAGCTGATTATCGAGCCTTCACACTGTGTATTTGTGTGGGGAGTGTTGCAGTAGAACATTTAACTGTAGCGACCGGTACATTAATGGGAAACCCTAAATGTTTGAGCACCCTCTATGAAACGTCCAGCTACCCCACAGCACCCCCAAAATAAATCTCTGGCGCCGCCACTGAGCCTGACTATTTGTGTTGGGGGGGCCCGACTTTTTTTTTTCTCCAAAGGGGGGGCCTGACAGAAAAAGTTTGAGAACCACTGGTTTAATTGGAGAAGGTTCTGACACATCCAGTCATTGATTTGTTCAATGCACTTACTCAGTGTTTGAATTGGAGCATAGTCTCCTGGTGAAATTGTTACGTACATTTGTGTGTCATCTGCATAGCTATGGTAACTTATTTTGTTGTTTTTCATTATCTGAGCCAGTGGTAGCATGTAGATGTTAAAGAGAAGAGGCCCCAAGATGGAGCCTTGAGGAACCCCACATGTCATATTTGTCAACTCAGATGTGTATTTACCTATAGAAACATAGTTGTTTCTGTCCTTTAAGTAGGATTCAAACCAATTTAGAACTGTTTCGAAAGTCCCACCCAGTTTTTCCAGTCGGTCTAGTAATATGCTGTGGTCAACAGTGTCAAACGCAGCACTGAGATCTAATAATACTAACACTGAAGTTCTGCCACTGTCTGTGTTTAAGTGGATGTCATTGAAGACCTTTACAAGAGCAGTCTCAGTGCTGTGGTTTGGACGAAAGCCTGACTGGAACACATCAAAACAGTTATTTAAATGCAAGAAATTACTCAACTGTTGAAAAACAACTTTTTCAATGATTTTACCTAGAAATGGCAGGTTTGATATGGGCCTGTAATTGTTTCATTACTGAAGTAGTATGTAAAGCGCTTTGAGGGGTTGAAAAGACTGGATAAAGTGCTTTATAAGTACAGTCCATTTACCATTCACCATAGAGGTCAAAGTACGCTTCCCTGTGGAACTCCTATTCTGCATTTGGGCGAGTGTGGTGCGTTAACATCCTGTCTTGTCACAGCAGACCTGTTTTTTTTTAATGCACATATTTTATATTTTATTCCATTCTATTTCAATGTAAATAATGCTATATTTTATTTAAAAAAATGTTTTCTTATTTTTTAATGTTTCTATAGTTTTCTTAAAATAGTTCTCTATCTGTGTTTTTAATTATTGTTTTACTTTTATGTATGCACCATGACACCAAGTCAAATTCCTCGTACGTGTCAACCTACCTGGTGATAAACCCGTTTCTGATTCTATCATTTAGTTCAGATTAATCTAAATGTTTATATTAAATCTGTTTCAGAAAAAGACTTCAGACGCTCTCCCAGATCCTCCGGCCCCTCCCACCAAATCAGCGAGTCGCCACAGTCTGCCGCCATGTCGCAGCGCCGTGACGTCCAGCGCAGACGAGCAGCCGCACGTCGGCAACTACCGCCTGCTGAAGACCATCGGGAAGGGAAACTTCGCCAAAGTCAAACTGGCCAAACACGCTCTGACCGGCCGAGAGGTGAGAACACAGTTTGTTTGGATTACAGTATAATATGTATTAATCAAATCGAACCTTATTCACATAGCACTTTTCATACACAAAATGTAGCAATATGTGCTTTACTAACCAAAAAAAACAATATTACCCCGGGCCCTCCTCATTCCCAGCTAATAACACATAACCTTGTGATTGACAAAAAAAAAACTTAATTCCAACAGAAGTAAAAAAACACAGGACTGAATAAAACGAGAATAAAATCATAAAATAAGAATAAATTAAAAATAAATGATAATCTTAAAAAGCCACCATTTTCTTCTGGGAGGCTGATCCACAATCATGGGCTGTAATAATAATAATACATGATACTTGTATAGCGCTTTTCTAGACACTCAGACGCTTTGACAGAGAATAAAAAACAACATATAGGGGGGGGGGGGGGTCAGTGGTTGAATGCAGTGTTGAACAGGTGGGTGTTGAGTGATGTTTTGAATGCGGTGAGGAAGGAAGAATCTCTGATGGATTGGGGTAGTGAGTTCCAGAGGGTGGGTGCAGCAACGGAGAAGGCTCTGCCGCCCCAGGACTTGAGGTTATGGAGGGCTTTGTACGTCATCAGGAGGATTTTGTACTGAATTCTCTGGGGGATGGGGAGCCAGTGGAGCTTGATGAGGACGGGGGTGATGTGTTCACGGTGTGGGTGAGTAGACGGGCGGCGGAGTTCTGGATGTATTGAAGTTTGTTGAGGATGTTTGCAGGTGAACCATAGAGGAGGCTGTTGCAATAGTCCAGACGGGAGGTGATGAAATAATATAAAGAAGCCTCATCATGGGTCTTTTTTATAACTTGAAAAACAAATGATTTGAAGGACAGTAGCAGAAGACCTAAAGGATCTTCAGGGTTCATAAATCTCATAAATAGCAAGGACCAAGACCATTAAGAGCTTTATTGACTGACATTAAAGGGTTTGCAGTTGTGAGGCTTCCTGTTTGAGGTTTGCAGCGGAGGATCAGGTGCATGCAGTTCTTCTACAAACAACAGGAAGTCAGTTTTGTAGTTGAACTGCTGGCGTAGCGTCACATGGATCATTGAGGTGATTCAGGAAGTTCAGACACTTCTTTTATAATCATAACTGAATCCAGAGGTTCAAGGTTCTTTATTTTGTCTTACGAACATAGCTATAGTGTAGTTATGCCGATGAAATTCTTAGGTCACTTCTCCAACAGTGCAACACAGACACAGGATACCTATTTTTCCATTGCAAATAAACATCTGCAAATCCTCTTAGTAATATGAATAAAATAGACTGCACATATCTGCCAAACTTGCCTGAGAATTGCCATATTTTTAAGGTTTCTTTGGTTATAAAATACTTCGGTGATATTTCTCTGTAGATCATGATTACACTGCAAAACGGCATACTTTTTTGCACATTTGCACATTTTTGCCCTCCAGTTTTCTTTATTTTGTGTTAAGGCGTACTCACATAGAGCTAACGGTGGCTTGAGTATATGTAAAGTATAAATATATAAGCCAAAACGATATCCAACCCATCATAAAGTGTCATTAGTCCTCACTCTACTTTTTACAACTGTTAATGTTTAACACATACTGCTTGTTGTGGGCAAAGTCAAGAAACATCACACACACACACACACACACACACACACACACACACACACACACAGACACGCCTTTAATACACTGAGAACTCATAAAAAGTGTGATTTTAAATCTGAAATTATAATAATAAATCTTCATATCGAAAGAAACAAATGACATCATACCTCACCATAATGTCATCTGAACGAGTTATTTCCATCTGCTTTTATTACCGGATGTTTTAATTATATCACAAGACGTTCTGATGCAGATTTAGACGATTGTATAATCTCACTCTGAGTTTCTGTGGGGTTAAATCTGCTGGAAACGTAACCCTTCAAAATAAATTATTAATGCTGCAGACGTCAGCAGCTGGGAGCCGATTGGTCAGGAGATCAACTGTGTGTTGTGTGTGTGGTGTGGTGTGGTGTGTGTGTGTGTGTGTGTTGTGTGTGTGTGTGTGTGTGTGTGTGTGGTGTGTGTGGTGTTGTGTGTGTGTGGGTGTGTGTGTGTGTGTGTGTTGTGTGTGTGTGTGTGTGGTGTGTGTGGTGTGTGTGTGTGTGTGTGTGTGTGTGTGTGTGAGTGTGTGTGTGTGTGTGTGTGTGTGTGTGTGTGTGTGTGTGTGTGTGTGTGTGTGTGTGTGTGTGTGTGTGTGTGTGTTGTGTGGTGGTGTGGTGTGTGTCGTGATGTGTGTGTGTGTGTGTGTGTGTGTGTGTGTGTGTGTGTGTGTGTGTGTGTGTGTGTGTGTGGTACACTTATTTTAAGATTTGTTTTCCAAGTCCGAGCCGTCCAATCAGCTGCTGGGTTTCTCTCTGGAGACGCCCAGCGATGGTTGCTCTGAGAGGAGAAGCTTCATCTGCTGTCCTGCAGCCATTTTAATTTATTGATCATCTTTAAAGCATATTCTGGATCCGAGCCTGAAAATAATAAACTCTTTCACCCTGCAGTCAGTGTGTTCCTGTAAAACACTTTCCATTTGCTCTGCAGAAATGATTTCAATGATTTCTTTCTGTTCATTTAATTCTTTAGTTCTTCATATGATTGCAAATCATACCCTTTTTCCAGTAACACTAAGCATCGGGAAGCGGGTGATGGAACTACAATGAGCTTCATGTAAAAATGTATTGAAGAAAGCAATGTAAAGAAATATTAAATTATAGATAGGTGCATCCGAATAATCTGATAAAGGCGGTAAAGCGTATCGAAAGAGCACTTTAGTCTTTTGAGGAAAGTGCTCTGTCTTGTTTAATTTAATTCACTTGTGTTACCAGGAAGTCTTACTGAAAACGCAACAATAAAACTCCCAACTAAACAGATAAATCAACAACAATTACGACATCCAGCATCATCAAAATGTCTGTTTTACATTCTGTGTGTGTGTGTGTGTGTGTGTGTGTGGTGTGTGTGGTGTGTGTGGTGTGTGTGTGTGTGTGTGTGTGTGTGGTGTGTGTGTGTGTGTGTGTGTGTGTGTGTGTGTGTGTGTGTGTGTGTGTGTGTGTGTGTGTGTGTGTGTGTGGTGTGTGTGTGTGTGTGTGTGTGTGTGTGTGTGTGTGTGTGTGTGTGTGTGTAGTGTGTGTGTGTGTGTGGTGTGTGTGTGGTGTGTGTGTGTGTGTGTGTGTGTGTGTGTGTGTGTGTGTGTGTGTGTGTGTGTGTGTGTGTAGTGTGTGTGTGTGTGTGTGTGTGTGTGGTGTGTGGGTGTCCCCCCCCCCTGTCTACTACTGTTTTTCTCTTTTGTTCTGCAGGTCGCCATCAAGATCATTGACAAAACTCAGCTGAACCCAACCAGTCTGCAGAAGGTACGTCTCATCTCTGACCTTTGACCTCCTTCCAAGCAAAAGCTATATCTTAAATTTGAATGTGACGCTGGAGACTGAACTTCAGCTACAACATCACTACTCACACAAAAACTCAACTAAAGTACCTCAAAATTGTACTTAACTGCAGTACTCCACTAAATGCAATTCACTACGTTGCACAGCTGCGTTTTAAGGCGTTACAAGATGTCTGTTTCAAAAGCAAAATCTCCCACACATTTCAGTACAGGATTATATATGTACGCTTTCTTTTTTCAGTTAATGAGTAACCTGCATCCGTTTTTCTTAACCCTTTGTTTGAACTCATGTCATAACCATGCAAACAAAGGCACAATGGATGCTGGTCATTTTAAATATGTATTGTAAATAAAGATACAGCTACTAATCTGATGTGTGTTAGTCAGTAATGTAGAAGTGGATGTGTGAGCATAACGTAGTGTTGACCTCTCCCCTAAATTAGATCATAAAGTGGACATTATTAAATAATAATCTTCACTGATCGATTTTACAGCTCTTCAGGGAGGTCAGTGTGATGAAGATCCTCAACCATCCAAACATTGGTGAGTCCACACCTCCTCCTCTTCCTCCTTCTCTTCTACCTCCTGCTCATACTTGCCAACCCTCCCGGTTTCCTCCCAGGGTCATATTTCTCCCGATTTCTGACAAAATCAGATTTACTCACGACTGTTTCCACTCTGACTTTAATACAGCTACACATTGTTTGGTTTCCATGGTAGCGCGTCTCTTTAGCAGCACACGCAACTGAAAGTCTGAGAGGGTGAGGAAGATAGTCACAGAAAACAGAACAAGAATCGACAACTCTACCCTCTCTGCTCACTCCTTTCCATATGCTCCATCAAGGTGCTACAGGCCGCAAGGCAGTGCACTTAGAACTACAATAAGCATGTTAATGTTAATCCAATACAGCTCCGGCGATCCACTAGCACCCCCCCCCCCCCCCCCCCCCGCGGTGGTTTTGAAATGCTCCCGATTTCTGAGGTCTCAAGGTTGGCAAGTATGCTCCTGCTTCATGTCTATATTCTCCTTCTTCTCCTCTTCCTCCTCATTTTCCTCTTTCTCGTCTTGCTCTTCCTCAAACTGCTCTTCCTCATCGTCCTCCCTTCTCCTCCTTTAGTAGTGCTCAGTTTTAAGTAGCATAAGAGCTCAGTATTTGGCTGACGGAGGTGTGTGGCACAGTGGGTTGTGCGTTGGTGTTCGGATCAGAGGAGCACAGGTTCAAACCCCACTGCAGTCAGCATGTCGTTGTGTCCCTGAAGACACTTCACCCCAAATTGCTCCTGTGGGGATTGACCACAGTATTGAGTATGTAAGTCGCTTTGGATAAAAGCGTCTAACAAGTGACATGTAATGTAATTAGAGCTCAGTATTTGGCAGCAGATTACTCAGTATTTGGCTGAATTAGAGCTCAGTATTCAGCAGTAGTGCTCAGTATTTGGCAGCAGCAATATATTTCTGCTTTTGTTCTTCAGTGAAGCTGTTTGAGGTGATTGAGACGGAGAAGACTCTGTACCTGGTGATGGAGTACGCCAGCGGAGGTAAGTCCAGCTCACCTGTCTGTCATATATTAGTGTCAAGCACTTATAAAACCACATTATTAAATCGCTCAACACATAAAACACAACAATGAGAATAGAAAATCATGTTTGAATAACCTGGCAATTATAAGGAGAGAAGGAAAATAAACGTACAAACAATTCATGATTCAAATGTAGTTACAGTTTTAGTCATTTAAGGCTTTTTGATAAAGCGTGTTCTTCAAAAGTGATCTAAGTGATGTCTGTCTGTCTTTCTTTGTGTCAGGTGAAGTGTTTGACTACCTTGTTGCTCACGGACGAATGAAAGAGAAGGAGGCCAGAGCCAAGTTTCGGCAGGTGAGATCATTTAATATCTACGAGACTATCTGGTCCTCAATATCCCATAATGCACTGGTCACTTGCTTAATAGTGCATTCAGGATGTGCCAATTAAACTTGTCTTGAAGTAGGTTGGAGGTTTGGATAGCTTACTGGTTAATAAATACATGAGATGTAAAAGGAAACAATTCTGCATTTCCGTCTAAAATCCACAATAACTTTATTTGTACTTATTATGTTGCCTTTATTAGATAGTAATGGTGGAGAGAAAGAGTGGGAGGGCTTAAAAAAACACAATTACATTATGGTTCATTGTTAAATATGCCAACAGCAAGACCTTTAAAGAAATGTGTTTCCTTAAATATTTGAAGGACCACCTCTGAGCTCCCTGTCTCTAATGTAGACTACTGTATATATCTGTTATTACAAGATGTTATGCTGTATTAAGTTCCATCTTCCTATTCCTTTTACTCAAAATTATTTTTTCAGAATCTGTTATTTATGATTCGTGAGCAAGCTAAACTCTCCTGGTGTTTTTCGGTGATATTTTGCACACTTCCCTGCAGTTTCCTGTCTGTTGCAGCAGGTTTAGTGTTGGGCAGCCATCTTTATATTGTAGTGTCTCGTCCTTCATGTCAGAAACCAGACCACAACGCCCCCCCTCAGGATAATTCAGCCTGCCGGTGTAACCGCTAATAAAACACATCGGCTTCATTATGGTCCATTAGCGTAGCGGCTAACAAAGCTGTTAAAACTGTCGAGCCGTGGTCAGCAAACAAAACCTCTCTGCTGTAATGTTACCTTTATGAGCAACTTCCTATTTTATTCAGTTTATTATTCTTTCTCAGATGTAATCAATTCTGTTTGTTATGTTTTGACTGATATAATATCTGTAAACTGTATCAGAGCTCAGTTTCTATATGTTATGAATGAGTGAGATTATGAGTTAGTTGATCCCTTCTTTAGTCAAACACTTTGGTCCCTGTGAAATATTTGGGACATTCATGGTCCCCAGAGGAGGAATCCTAACAACCTTTTCGTCTCCTCTATTCGTCCAACATAGTCCTTACCAACGGACTGTATATAAAAGACGTTTAAATATTCACATTGATATCTCCTTTTGATTTGTGGACAACCATTTTAAAGCCTGGAGTTTGGCTTTCGTAATGCAAGCTAACTAACACATGTATGCTCAAGTGAAAGCTCATCCTGACTCCAGCCTAGTCTGAGATGTCCCAGGACTATAAACCCTAACAGATTAGATTAGATTATTGATCGCACATTAGAAAATGGTTTTGTTACAGCAGCTTGCTGACGAGGCAAAACATGAGCTTTTCTCTGGTGCCCATTGCAACAAACAAACAGGACAGACTTTAAAAATCAACTAATGCAGAAGTTGTCTGTCTGTGTGTGTTGTTATTGTTGTTGTTGTTGTTATTATTTTCTAATAATTTTGCATCTTCTTCTATCACTCTGTGTTTGTGTCAGATTGTGTCAGCAGTGGAGTACTGTCACCAGAAGAGGATTGTCCACCGAGACCTCAAGGTAAACACACACACACACACACACACACACACACACACACACACACACACACACACACACACACACACGAACGAACATGTTGCGTTTCTAATCCAACTATTCTCTTTTGTTTACTTGCTTCAATTTCTATAACTGCTTTATTATAACTGATGATGTCTGACTTCTTTTTGTAATTATTGATGAATAAAGTGTTTAATAATATAAATCTCTCTCTCTCTCTCTCTCTCTCTCTCTCTCTCTGTGTCTTCCAGGCAGAGAACCTGCTGCTGGACGCCGACATGAACATTAAGATCGCAGACTTCGGCTTCAGTAATGAGTTCACGCTGGGCAGTAAGCTGGACACCTTCTGTGGGTCTCCTCCCTACGCTGCTCCTGAACTCTTCCAGGTAAACACTGGACAGACACATTTACACATGTTGCATATATATCATGTTTTACATTTTAAATGCCCCTTTTATGGCTCATTGGTTCCCTCAGAGCACATAAACATATTCTAGATGTGAAGATAGATATGAGAATACATAAGGAAAGTTAAGATGACGACTTGGATGCGACAAGAGTATAACATATGGGAAAATTAGAGGAGAGATTCAAGAAAATGAAATGAAAAGAAAGAAGGTTGAATTTGACCAAAAGGGCAAGAAAAACTCACTGCTATTGTGAGAGCAGTTTTAGGTTTGTATGCAGAGGCAAAGCTTTAATAACAGTTAATGTTTTTAGTGTTGTTTATCATTTTTAATATGAAAACCGTGAATAGCAATACCAACGTCATGAAGTTATAGATTTAGATTGACTTTGTATTGTTGCATTTCATTCATGTTATTTAAAAAGAAACAATGCTTTTGAGAGAATTGGAGACGCCTTTGATTAAGTAGTTTTATTGTATACAATCGTTAAAATGAAAGAAGATGGATGAAAATGTGTCCCAACATATTTAAGATAATACTTTCTAGCTGAAGATGCAAATATAACTTTTTAAACCAAATTCAAAATGTATTTTTTAAGAAATCTTCCTGAAAATGCAGCACCTGAAGACAGTAAGGTGTGTTAGGGTGTCGTAGAGCTGTGGGCTGCTGGGTAATGTAGTTCTGTACCTCTTTAGGGGAAGAAGTACGACGGGCCGGAGGTGGACGTCTGGAGTCTGGGAGTGATCCTCTACACGCTGGTCAGCGGCTCACTGCCGTTCGACGGACAGAACCTGAAGGTGTGGACAAAATAGTAGAAACACATTTCAATAATGTTAAAAAACTCCCAATTCACCACTCACTGGTTAGAACCCGGAGTAAAATACTTTTTCTGACAAACTGCTGCTGAGTCAAGAATATACCTTTTTACATATGAACTCAACTCGGTGTTATAACCTACATTTACTAAAGTACTGTATTTTTTTATGGACTTTTTCTTAAGTAGTTATGCAACTTAATGTACTCAAACACATCTATTCCAATTTAAGTCTTAACAATCGAGCTTTAACAAGAGATTATGAGAAAAGAAATTGTTCTGACGTGTGTGTGTGTGTGTGTGTGTGTGTGTGTGTGTGTGTGTGTGTGTGTGTTGTGTGTGTGTGTGTGTGTGTGTGTGTGTGTGTGTGTGTGTGTGTGTGTGTGTGTGTGTGTGTGTGTGTGTGTGTGTGTGTGTGTGTGTGTGTGTGTGTGTGTGTGTGTGTGTGTGTGTGTGTGTGTGTGTGTGTGTGTGTGTGTGTGTGTGTGTGTGTGTGTGTGTGTGTGTGTGTGTGTAGGAGCTGAGGGAGCGTGTTCTCAGAGGAAAGTATCGGATCCCCTTCTACATGTCGACTGACTGTGAGAACCTGCTGAAGAAGCTGCTGGTGCTCAACCCGGGGAAGCGAGGCAGCCTGCAGGTAACCCCGGCAACAGGGAGTAGAACCTGAAACCTTGCGTTGAAAACTCATAGACCACCAAAATAATGAAAATGGTGTCATTCTGGATCCTAGACCATAACTCCCTGCATCGACTTCACAATAAAAGCTTCGGAGTGGTTTCCTGTCGGCTAGTGCTGGGGGGAAACGATTATTTTGAAAACGATTAATCGGGCGATTATTTGATCGATTAGTCGACTAATCGAACGATTATTTTTCTGTTGTTCAATTCATAAAAAACGTAATGTAAAAAAAACGTAATGTAAAAAATTTTTTTTTCACGATACTGTGTCTCAGGGGATCTTAATATTTAAGAACCTATTAATGTGTTATACCAGATTAACGGAAATAATCTCAGCTAACTGACGATACAAACCATGTTTACCAAAACAAAACACAAGTCTCATAAGAAGCATCTAAATGACCCCTGAGCGAAAAATGCTAACGGACATTGGCACAGATCTCAAGATAAAAGTACCCTTATTACTTATCGTAGCTGCACATACAATATATCCGATTAAAGCTGAGACTCCACAGATTATGTAGGTACATAGTATCATCACTGAGTGATCCGGACTCGCGACAGGGGAAGCAAATACAGTCATCACAACACGTACCTTCACAGAGCTTCTAGGGAGATCGTCTCACCACCGTAGCTGTCAATCTGATCAAAATACGTGTTCAATGGCATTAAAATGAGAAAAAACGCGGCTGAATCGGTTAATCCATAGGTTTTTAACGTCTATGTATACAAAAATGATTGCATTTATAATCCATAATTCCATTTTAAATCGGAGAGCAAATGCTAGCTGCTAATGGTAGCCACCACAGCTAGCTGCTGCTTCTGCTAGGCTATGCAGCAGTCTCAGTGAGATATAAATATATAAATATCTTTGCGTTTTGGACTAACTTTAAAATATTCCCATGCTTTTGAAGACCTGGGGCGAGATGTTTTCTTTTGAGGGCTTCGTGCGCAATCCTGTGAGGAGGAGTTGGTAGCCGTTTCAGTCTCCATTGTGTTAGAAGTGCGATTGCGAACTGCTTGTTGCTTTGGGTGACCCACGTGTGTGTGGTGTCATACAGTCTATGGTGGCGACGCGTCGACGCGGAAATATGTCGTCGACGATATTTTGACGTCGACGCGTCGCTACAGCACTACTGTCGGCAGGTTTTTACTTCCACTTCAGAGGTTGTGTTTTCTGCTAGGTTTGTTTGTAGCGGTGTTGTGCGGTCACGTTGTGTGGCTCTGCATTGTTCAGACAACAATAGGATTTCAGGAGAAGTGTCTTAACATTTGCTGAATCATTTAGGTCATTGTGATTGACTCACCTCATTCAGCGCTAGGGAGCAGTAATGGGACTTCCACATACACAAAGCAATATATCAGGTGGAGACGCCCACACAGTTAGTGGCTCTTGATTAAAACTGGACCCCGAATGTCATCTAAACGAAACCACTCCTGTATTGTGTTTGTTTCTCAGCAAATCATGAAGGACCGATGGATGAACGTCGGCTACGACGAGAAGGAGCTGAAAACATACAACGAACCAGAACAAGACTTCAACGACCTCAAACGCATAGGTCAGACACACACACACACACACACACACACACACACACACACACACACACACACACACACACACGATACATTCCTGTTAGGCTGCTCCAGACGTCCCATAATCCTCTTTGTTTGATCATGTTACTCTATTAGCTGGAGGCAGACAATCGATGGAATTTGATATATTTAAGTATCTAATTTATTCCACTTAATATACTACATTACGTGCATATGTTATCATTGAAGTGCACAGAAACGGACCAATCACAACTCACAACAGTTAATGTATTGCTGTATCTGCCATTAGAGCTGTCAATGTCTTTCGGTTGACTGCAATATCTCAACAAAATGTGGATTGTGAGGATATTAAGTTCAAGAAAATATTCCCCCTCAGGATGAGCTGTCCTTCTTCTGATTTTTCATGTAGTGCCATCAACTTATCAACATTTGACGAATTATGAGCTCTTGAACTCTGTTAAAATATGCTAATGTGAGCATGCTAACACACTTAACTTAGATGGTGATGATGGGAATTATTAATAAAATCTTCCTTTGTGTTTTCTGACCAATCAGAGCTGATGGGGACGATGGGCTTCTCTCAGGAGGAAGTGAAGAAGGCGCTGGAGGGTCAGAAATACAACGAGATGACGGCGATATACCTGCTGCTGGGGAGGAAAAATGCTGAGGTTTGTTCAATAAACCGTTTTACATTTAGTCAAATCTTCCTGGTTGCTCAAGAATCTCACATTTTGGAGCTTATAGATACAATTTAGATTAATTTCTGTTAAGGCTAGGTTAGCACAAACACTAGAAGTAAGCCTAACTTCATCCAGTACTGTATGTTGCATGTTTTTATTTGATTGTATTTACTTGTTTAAAATGAAATGTGTCTTTAGGTTGACTTACAACATCTGTCCAGGGACTACAGATGAAAAATAGAAATGTTACAATAACAACAGTGTTACAGAAATGTTGATTGATGTGCACTGTCCCTGTTAAAAAATAAAATAAAAATCAAAGGAAGAAAAATCGACCTTCTAAGCACTCTGTCTGTAACTGAGCAGGGCTTTTACCCAGAATCCTCTGCTGTGTCTCTCTCAGTCTGAAGGCGGTGAGACTCTGTCCAGTAACCTGCTCCAGAGGTCACGACCCAGCAGCGACCTCAACGGCTCCAGTCAGTCACCCGCACACTCTCGCAACACATCGACCAATCAGAAGCAGCGGCGCTTCAGCGACCACGGTGAGTTTCTGTCCAGGCGTCAAAATCTCATAAAGGGTTACAGCGGATCTTTAAAAGTCTTAACATGTGTTGAAAACGAAAAGACACACGTGTAAGCCAAAACAAAAGGCAACATTGGTTTTCAAATATCTCTGAAAGAAAGAGCTAATGTATTTAAAAATGCTAAGTAGAATGGTATTTATTTACATATTTCGCAACGGCTCATTTCAAAATAAACGTGGATTTGCGTAAAAAACTAGTTTTTCGGGGTTCTGGTGTTTTGTTTGATTTTAAATAAACAAAGTCTTGGCTTTCAGAATATGAAACTTTTATTTCCAAAATCACACGATAAATACATGTTTGAAGCTTTCAAAGGGAAGACGACAGCTCTCACTCGCCCCGGCTGACATTATGAATGTAAGAGTATAGTAATCATAGATAACACGGCAGGGTCCGTTGCAGTTTGTTTTCATCTGATTTCAAATAAACAAAGTCTTGGCTTTCAGAATATTAAACTTGTTTCGGCAAATTCAGATGATAAATACAGCTTTGAAGCTTCGGCATAATTACAAGCGGAGAACGGAGTTCAGGCATAACAACAGCCGGTGTTTCTCGTGAGTGTTTTCCCCGGGAAACAAACACGATACACACAAATGCAAAAATACACAAACACACACACAGGTATACACACACACACACATACACACACACACACACACACACGCGAGCTTCCCCCAGACCAGTAATCCAAACGAAGATATCTTCCCTCCGTTACTACTTTGATCATTTGCTAATAATCAATCAGATCGATGGATTCCAGAGAAGAGAAAACTTTGAGGTCCTTTTTCTCAAAATGATGACTCAGTGACAGTCATTATATAATATGACATATTTCGCTTAATATTTGTACAACAACAATCCTGATATCATTAGAAAGCTAGGAACCTCCTCTTTCCAACAGTGTATACAATTCAAAATGTGTCTTCGGTCAATGCGACTGATTTCGATGGAGCAGGTCACATATTCTTTTGTTAGTAATCCACAGAATTCTTCTTGCATTATGATCACGCAGATCAGGACAGCAGAACCAACAACACTAACAATATATTTGAACTAAAATAAGAATACAATTGGCTATTTAAGTAAATATTGTAGGGCTTGTCTGAAAGGGTTAGGGGCAGGTAGAGGCACGATTTAGGTTGCTTTAAATGTCTCACATGGGAGAAACCTGTCTCTGAGAAATAGAAATTGCTGCATCAAGTCCAGATCGAATCGTTTTGAAAAGTCTTAATATCTCTTTCTCCCTGTCAGTCTTAATTCTGTACTAATAATAAAGGCAACAATATCTTGAAGTCTTAATGTAATTTGCCCAAAGCTTTTCTCTTTATTAACGTCACATTATATTTTATACATATATTTTTATATATATTTGTATGTTTGTATTTGGGATTGTGGGAAACGGTATTTCGATCTCTGTCTGTACACACAAACTGACTAAAGGTGACTTTGACTTGACTTTGACTTGATCTGTGTTCTCTCTCTGTCTCAGTGGCGCCCTCTATCCCCCCTCCTGTGTCCTACACCAAGCGTAGTCATGCCAACAGCGTAGAGAGTGACAGGAAGGAAGGGGCGGCGTCGCCCACGGGGGCTCCGGACCGCCGGAGGTCAGCCACCGCCTCAGGGGTGAGAGGAGTCACTGTTTCTGCTCCAAACTGGTCCTCGTACATGTTCTGTTCTTTATAAGGACATTAGCAGCACTAGCATGAGCATTGGCTATTCTTCCTGGGGTCCTCACACACACAAAACGTACATAAAACAAATCAAAACAGCTCATCATTTCAGGCAATTTACAATGCTATATGAGGTGAAAACTAAAATTGTCCAAATAAGGCCAAACAAAAAAATACTAATACGTGTACATAATATGATATACATAGCCACAGGCTTCAACCTTTTGAAATATACAGATACCAAGTTTAAAAGCAGTGTTAAAAGTCAAACAGTTATGTTGGTACCCTCTGTTGTTGAATCAGGAGACCACATGTACATTTATACTTTCTTGTTAACGCAATATCTAAGGAATACTTTGAGTGCATTTATTCCCATTTGGCTAAATGGTCCTCTTAGGGGATCAACGATGAACTGATTACTAGTTGTTGGTCAAAGATTGAGATTACTGTGACCTAACTAAATATGTTTTGGGGTCACGACTCAATCATTCTTATGCTAATGTTAACATTGCACTCAGATGTCTAATGTGAAAAAGCAAGCCGTCATTGATGTACATGAACACACAAGCTGGTCATTCTGAATTCTGTATATATGTATACATTCCTACATTTGGGCTCTTTAAATAAATAATTGGCTTACAGTAATTAAGCACTTGGTAACATGCTTATTTATGAATAAAAAAAAACGTCATTCCCTTTAGCCTTGTTGATAGAGATCACAAAAGAATATCAAAACAACAACAACAAAAACCATGACAGCACATAGCTTAAAATAACAACAGAGAAACATCATTTGGAAAACGAATAAAATAAATTAGGTGCAAATATGAACCCCATGGGAGATGAGCTTAAGCAGCTAAATAACGCATCATGCCGCCTTTTTAAATGTGCCTCGTGTTGTACAACGCAGGTCAAGTGTTATCCACACTTATGTCTATTTCTGTCAGCCTGTAGATTAGACTTTCTACCAAACATGATTCTGTATCTCACTCGGCGCTGGAGGAGTGGAGCATTCATGTTCTGTTTTTGTATCGTCCCTTTTACTGTGTGATGAAGCTGACTGTGTTACAGAACATAACTCGGAGGAACACGTACGTTCACGAGAGGACGAGCAGCGACCGCCACTCGGCTGCTGTGACCAACGGGAAGGACAGCAGGTGAGAGGGATTCTGGGAGCTTTTTCATTGATCACATTGCTGTTATCCTGTATATCAATAACCAGGGACGTGCATTTTGGAGGGCGGGTGCTCAAGTGAGAAAAAGGGCACTACCCATAATCATTTATAAAAAAAATTTTAGAACAAAAGGTTAAATATAGTTGCACATCTCGGACTTAATGACCAATTAATTTTAATACCCTCACGTTATTGTTTAATACTCAACAGAATTCTACAAAATAATCAGCTAACACGGAGACAATGGCCTTCTTTAGTATTCACTACGCACAAGAGCAGACAACAACAAAGGAAACTATGCCACAATGTGCATGTTTTCTATGCTACTAGTTAAAATTGCTATAATAATTAGTTTATTTTAGCACAACAATAAGTCTTTCGAGTGGTATTAACATGAATAACACTTCAAAATAGGGAGAGAGAGCATCGGACTATCTAACCTCCCGACCTGATATTTTTATTTTTTATTCAATCAATATATTTTTGGAAAGGGAAACTGTGCGCAAACAGGAGTAGATATATATTCAATAATAATTAAAAAAGCACCCCAAAAAAGGGCACTTTCTTTGGAGGAAGAAAAAGGGCAGGGGCTCAAGCCCACTTTGATGTCTGTGTGCACGTGCCTGTCAATAATTAACCTGTGTGTGTGTGTCAGTCTACCTGAGGTTCCTGCAGCGTCCCCCTCTCCATCGCCGGGGAAAACCACCTCCACTCGTCCCCGTCACGTGAAGTCCATGTCGGCGTCGGGACATCCCATGAAGTCCTGCCTCCCCCCCATCGACGACAACGTGGAGTATCAGAGGTCAGTACAGCTGGGGAGTAATATACATGTAACTTTGGAAACATTGTATTTATATAAATATATTTACATTACATTTCTTTAAGCTGATGATTTCATCCAAAGTGATTTACATTGATCAGAGATGGCAAAAGTCCACATCCTTTCCTCAAGTAGAAGTACAAATACTTGTGTTTAAAAATACTCTGGTAAAAGTAGAAGTACTGACTAAACTTCTTTACTCAAGTAAAAGTAAAGAAGTATGGGCTTCAAAATGTACTTAAGTAAAAAGTACCCATAGCTACCAGCTGTTTTAAAGAGTACCTGACCTCCCTTTATATTAATAGAACAATAATGTCATTGTTAGCTAATGAATGTTTCCATGCTGAACAACGGCAACATGACAACGTTTCCATTGGTCCCTCTTCTTTAGAGAAGACCAGGAAATGATGGATACACGGATCGTGTTCAAATCAATAGGCACGCAATGACTCTAAAGAATAATGATCACGCATCAAACACACATTCAAACTAAAGGAACCAGCTGTTTGGAAAATGTAAGAAGTAGAAAGTACAGGTATTTGTGTTCAACATGTAAGAAGTAGAAAGTACAGGTATTTGTGTTCAACATGTAAGAAGTAGAAAGTTCAGGTATTTGTGTTCAACATGTAAGAAGTAGAAAGTACAGGTATTTGAGTTCAACATGTAAGAAGTAGAAAGTACAGGTATTTGAGTTCAACATGTAAGAAGTAGAAAGTACAGGTATTTGGGTTCAAAATGTAAGAAGTAGAAAGTACAGGTATTTGGGTTCAAAATGTAAGAAGTAGAAAGTACAGGTATTTGTGTTCAACATGTAAGAAGTAGAAAGTACAGGTATTTGTGTTCAACATGTAAGAAGTAGAAAGTACAGGTATTTGTGTTCAACATGTAAGAAATAGAAAGTACAGGTATTTGTGTTCAACATGTAAGAAGTAGAAAGTACAGGTATTTGAGTTCAACATGTAAGAAGTAGAAAGTACAGGTATTTGGGTTCAAAATGTAAGAAGTAGAAAGTACAGGTATTTGGGTTCAAAATGTAAGAAGTAGAAAGTACAGGTATTTGAGTTCAACATGTAAGAAGTAGAAAGTACAGGTATTTGTGTTCAACATGTAAGAAGTAGAAAGTACAGGTATTTGTGTTCAACATGTAAGAAGTAGAAAGTACAGGTATTTGAGTTCAACATGTAAGAAGTAGAAAGTACAGGTATTTGAGTTCAACATGTAAGAAGTAGAAAGTTCAGGTATTAGTGTTCAACATGTAAGAAGTAGAAAGTACAAGTATTTGTGTTCAAAATGTAAGAAGTCAAGGTAAAAAGTCATCAGAAAAATAAGTAGTGGAGTAAAGTAATGATACCAGAAAAAAGTACTTAAGTACAGTGATGAAGTATTTGTACTCTAATACTTCCCACCTCTGACAATGAGTGAAGCATAACGATGAACAATACATGAATCGTGCAAGTACATTCACTTTGAATGAGCCAAACTATTTTAACTATAGGAATGGGAAGTAAGTAAAGTAAGAACTCAGTCTGCGATGGAAGATTTATAGACTTTTTGATTTCCCAATGTTCAAAGAGAGCTTGTTTCACTATGGCTCAATTTCAGTCCCTACCCACTTCCTCTCCAGTTGTGTGCGTGTGCATGGAGGGTTTGCCGTTCCAAGCCAACTAGTAGGAAATGGAAGTTATTACACCCTCTAACTGGAAGTCTGCCTCCGACCTGAACATGTGCCACGCTGTTTGTGTCCGTCATGAAACAAGCAGTGTACAAAAAGTTCCGTGCATTCATTTAATTCATGCACAAAATAAGACAGACATGTTTTATTGGCACACTCAATTTCTTTTAACTGAGGATCATAGATACCTGTGTCTAAACTAGAAAATATTGGTTAATATTGTATCTGTATTATTGTGTTGCATTGTTGGAGAAGCCTGTGACCTAAGATTTTCAATGACATAATTACTCTGTAGCTATGTTAATTTGACAACAAAGAACCTTGAACCTTGAAAATGGTAGACGAATGCATTTGATGTAAACTTTTGTATATTTCCAGTGACTGTTACAACAATCCAGCTGCTCATTAACATTCAATCTTATATACGAAAAGAGGTTTTCAAAAATGAAAGAAACAGAATTAAAGATTTATATTGTAATTGTCATTTATTACATTTTGTCTGGTCAAGTAAGTTCCTGTTTCTGCCAGAGAGAGGGAAGTTTGTCCTGAAGCTTGCCGCCTTTTTTTAATTAAAACCTTTCATCACAAGGCCAATAAAGTGCTTTACAAAACACACACACAGAAATAGACTTACAGCTAAAAAACAAAGCTGAAAAGTGTGTTACTGCTATGTACAGATATTAAGTACATACTAAAAGTGTCCAGCGTTTCTCGTCTTCCTTCAAGAATGGCTAACAGAGATTACAAATCTTAGGTCCCAGGCAAGACAATAAAACGGATAAAATAGAATGGAATAGTGCAAGGAGAGTCTATATACAAGTAATTGGAATATGATGTATTAGATAAATAATTTGTAAGTTGCAAACAGATGAATGTTATGGATAACTTCCCCCTCTCTCCTTCCCCCCACTCAGCTCCCCCCAGCAGCCCCCCCCCCTCCTCCCCCTCAGCGTTCAGCATCACCAGCAGCAGCAGCACCACCCCGGATCGGACCCGTTTCCCCCGCGGATCGTCCAGCCGCTCCACCTTCCACGGCGCTCAGCTGCGAGACCGCCGCTCCGCCACGTACAACGGCCCCCCCGCCTCGCCCAGCCTCTCCACGCACACCGCCGCCTCGCTGGCCTCCGCCCGCCGCGGCACCTCCACCTCGCTCATCGGGAAGATCACCTCCAAGTTCGTACGCAGGTCAGTGAGAGTCCAGAAGCTGTAGGAGTATTTCCGTTGACTCCTTTTAAAGCAAACTCAAAACCCATCTCTTCGCATCTGTCGTCCTTGTAAACTAATTTCCATCACCTAGTTTCCATCTACATTACCATCACTTCAGTCACATGCTTTTATCACGTGGCAATACTTATGGTGAGGTATAATGTTGTATTTAGTTTTTATAATTGTTATGCTTTGACGTTTGTATTTAGTTTTTGTCTTTGCTTTTGTTTGCTTTGTACAGCCCTTTGAGGCATTACTTGTGATTTGGGGCTATAATAATAGTAGTAGTAGTAGTAGTAGTAAATTGGGATCAATAAAGTACTCCTATCTTAACATTTATTTTACTGTTGCGTCTCTGTCCTCCAGGAGTTTATCAGGTGAGCCTAAAGAGGAGGGGCGGGACTCCAAGCCTCGTGCGCTGCGCTTCACCTGGAGCATGAAGACCACGTCCTCCATGGAGCCGGGGGACATGATGAAGGAGATCCGCAGGGTCCTGGACGCCAACAACTGTGACTACGAGCAGCGCGAGCGCTACTCCCTGTTCTGCGTGCACGGAGACGCGCGGCAGGACAGTCTGGTGCAGTGGGAGATGGAGGTGTGCAAACTGCCCCGACTCTCACTCAACGGCGTGCGCTTTAAGAGGATCTCCGGCACGTCCATCGCCTTCAAAAACATCGCCTCCAAAGTGGCCAACGAGCTCAGGCTGTGAACAACTTCCAGTTATTCATCGAAGGAGGAAAAACCTCTGTGGTCCTCTTTCTTCACAGAATGACGCCCCACCAAGTGACGGCGGCCATGTTGTGTTCAGCGACTCTCTAACTGCTGTATGACTCTGAGAAAACACACATTATTATACTCTACACACTTACTATTTAATGTTATCACTAAATGTTTGCCAGTGAAACCAAATATTAAAGCTGACGGTGCAGATTTCCAGCAGGTTGTAGTTCATCCCTCAGTGATGAGATCCAGAGCAAACAGCAGGAGGATGTTTCCATCTGTCCTCTCTGTTGGTTTATCACTGTTTACATGCACTTCAGATTTTTACGAAACCTTGGAAACTGAATTTTAAAACATTGTGTAAAGTGGAAACACGTCACGCGAGCTAAAGCTGATTAAACAGGGAGAGTTTTGTTGGAGAAACCTGAAGACTTCCACTTTTACTTTGCGATTTGCATGTGGGAATATTAAAGAAGCTGTTCGCAGCAGTGGTTTTAAAGAAGACCAAGCTATGTCATCTGGAGTTTTAGAGGCTTAATATCATTGCTGTGCATGTAGACATATTATCAGCTTTCGGTTTGCTAACAGTACCTTTGTCTCTGGAGTGCAGGTAAACAGTGGAACGTGACCTCCGCTCTACCTGTGCAACTCTCCTGCTGCAACAGAACTCACTAACTGTGAGTCCGCAGCTACAGAGTCAGCAGGCCAAGTGTGTGAACTCATGCAAGGAATTTAACTGCGATTTTTCATTGCTCTCAATACACACACACAGAACAGCTAGAAAACAAAGCTGGAAAAGGTGAACATTTTACTGCTATGTACAGATATAAATACATACTAAAAAGTGTCCAGCGTTTCTCGTCTTCCTTTGACAATGGCTAACAGAGATTAAAGAAAAAAAACAGGATGATTCAGACATCTAATGTATTTGAAACGACTAATTTAATGACACACCCTTAATTCAATGTTGCATGATAGGGGGGAATACTGTTTGAGCTTGGATTGGGAATTTGTGTGCATGTCCAGAAAAGCACTCGTGACCCTCAATCATTATCAAGCCGCAACGGTAGCCCCCAAAAAGGTGTCATCGGGCCATCAAAGAAATCGTTCATGATCATTATGGAACCACAAAGGTGCAATCGGGCCTTTTGCAGTTACTCAGTGGTTGGATTACATTTTGAGGAAAAATCTGAGCAAAAGTATCTGTTCTATAGGTTGGCTTTTTCTTATTGGCATATGAAGTTCACAGAAATAGATTCAGCTGGAAACTAAAAACAAATGTCTTTGTTTTTAATTGACGTGCAATTTACTAAAAAAATATTCAAACTTGATCTGAAGAGTAGAAGTGAAGTGTGCAAATCTTGAGGTTTTTTTTCTTTTAATTCATGACACAGAAAAGGAGGAGAGCGGAGACCCTTGACCAAGACCACGCTCTATATCGTAATGTTGACGAAAATGAACAATACTTTTTGTATCCACCTCGTGATCCGGGCCCGGTCCAAATTTGATGCGTTCTTTTTTTGCCAATGCTTCACACTTTGACTAAAGGTCTTGAGAATGGGACCAGTAGTTTTTCTGTAAACAACAGACAAACCACCAAAACAAATGTACCGAAAACACGACTTCCTGGTGATTTTAGGACCAACAAAACAGAGACAGACCATTGTATGTTCTTTATCTGTCAAATCAGTATTTCAGCTTTAATTTGTTGTGAATGAACAGTCAAACAGTTAAACCTTCAATTCATTCAAACAAACTCTAACACTAGCTTGCATGCTAAGGCAGGTGTAATGAAGTTTCTTTCTCGCAAATGTTGGTGTCACCTGGTCATTGTATTGAAAAGCTTTTTTTAAAAATAACATTGTTGGTTTTTCTCCGGATTTTAAAGTCCATCATTCGGGTTCTTTATGTGAACCATTATCTTGATGCTGACGTTTGCTGCAGATCTCCGTTTGCACAGTTGAGTTGCACAGTTTACAGTGGAGGTTATGAAGAGTGGTAAACAACCAATACAACATCCTCCCTGTTGGTTGAGAGCCTGTGACCTCTGACCTCCCCTGCTGGCTCATGTTATTACTATTGCAATAATACCGGAGCTCTTGGTAAATGATGTCAGTGGTTTAAACTCAACCTGTAACGCTTTATTAATCTTTGTATTTTACACATTTACAGCTGACAGACCGAATGTGTTTTTATTATTTTTGTTATTATTGCTGTGTACAACTATACCTGTCAAGGTGAATATGTGCAGGTACAGTATTGATTAGTCTGTTTACTTGGTCCACACTGTCTCCATTCTGTGTTGGTTTTCCACCGCTGAAAATACAACCGTATTATTATTTTCCCAAAGCCTTTAGCAGTGAGATAAAACTTGGAGCATCAAAACATTGAGCAAACACATTTCCCCTGTTTTAGGATCAGTCTGGTGTTTTCAATCTGTTTCTGAAAGGGTCCCTTAGGCTGATTCCTGGTCCATATTTCTAAATGTATTCCACCACTAAATGCCTTCTGAATGTACTGCTTTGTATTTCTGATTGCATTAGGTTGTACCAGAGGAAATGGAGCAGTTTGTGGTTTTAAGTTGTATATTTTGAGTTGTTCCCCACTAATCAACAGAGCCTCTAACTAGCTCTATTGTCTCTACAGTCTTGAGGTCCTGAGGGTTCACCGTGCAATGGTTCTCCATCACTACTGAAACTGGAGAACACTTTGTACTGTATGTTGTAGCACTTAAAACCAGGAAGGGAACAAACAATGCAAACCTCACGTCCCTGTCTGACGGGGATGAGAGAGGTGACAAGGTGTGAATATGACGCTGCCTTCACGTCACCTTGGGAAGGACTGTAAATCTGAGCCTCTTACTTGAAAATAGCCTTTGCCTCAGCTTCCAGATAGAAACTCTTACCATGTGACCGGCAGGTTTGTCGGGCACGTCATTAACAGGAAAGTAGCAGAAGTCCAGTGTAGCCATGTTCATTTCATTTTAAATAAAAAAACACAAATAAAACATGTTCAGAATCGTTTTGTGATCGCCGCTGAAGGATGAAAATACTGTTATTTGTATAATGTTTAATGACATAATTTTTAAAGTGATTATTTCTACATTTTATCCCACTGTAGCAAAAACATTACAGATGTCAATAATGTTTTAACTGTTCTTCATTAGGCTTTCCTTCTGGAGCAGGTCCAGTGAGTTGAGCACTAAATGCATATTCAAGTATTTCTGTTTACTTCTCTCTTATATTTTAGAACAACAATTCTAGAAATGTTCTAATATTTCCTTGGAAACATCACTGTTTTTGTTGAAATATTGACATGCTGCATACAAACTGTTGTAGGGCATAGCCACCGTAACTGATTCCTAGTTTGGCAAGGCCTTGAATGTAACAGACATATTTTTTTTTTACATAAAAGTTCCACAATTCCAGTGTTAAGCATAATGGATAAAAGTATCCCCTCATGCAAGGTGAGTATACATATTTTAAATGCGTAACAGGGCTGGCCTTATACTTTATTTTCTAATATGTTTCATGAGTTTCAGCAGCAAAATGATTGGTTAGCTAAATTGCTAATGGCTAGCTAATTAGCCAATATGCTAAACGGGCTCTAGAAAGGGAATCGTTTTTAACATTAGGCTACGTGTGTGTGTGTGTGTGTGTGTGTGTGTGTGTGTGTGTGTGTGTGTGTGTGTGTGTGTGTGTGTGTGTGTGTGTGTGTGTGTGAGATCAATATTTCGTTGCTAACTTGCCCGTAAACTATGCTATTTAATATGTATTTTAAATCATTTCATAACACACACAAAAAATGTGCCACATTAGAAACATCATTTTATGTAAATAGAAGATACATCTTTTTATCAATAATTATGACATTGTTTTAGTGTTTTTTCTGTGTTACATTAATATTGTTAGGAAAATAAGACTCGCTCTTTTTACTGAATTAGTATTTAGTATATTTGTCTTCCTAATTAAATATATTTCAGTGTTTGGTTGCTAAATCCTTCCACACTCAAGCTAGTCGTCCAGATCTACTTCTGTGCAGGGATGAGCCCCTCGATGTCTCCATTGACCTCCAGCCTCTTCTCCATGGTGATGAGCAGTTTGACCCCGTCCACCACCAGCTGGGTCAGACCCACCTCGCTCAGGCCGAAGGTCGCTGTGTTGCTCACACAATACAGCGCCGGGGAATCTGCAGAATATGAAAAGGCAAGTCATAGACAAGAGTTTTCTGTTCAACTGTGAGTTGTTCAAAAAGTACTTTAGGTTTGATCACTATGGGGGAGTTCAAGTCCATTCTAAAGGACAGAGAACAAGAAACCATTGGCCGATGTGATTGCTCTTATATCCCCTAATTGAAGTTGTTTTAAAATTATGCCAGTTTTTTATGTTATATACAAGTTTCTTTTATTTCCGTTTATACTGGTTAATGTGTCATTTAATTTGTGTTTTACGACCGCTCTATTCGTCTGCCTGTATTGTTTTGTGTTCATTTTTGCCCTCTTGGCCAGATCGCTCTTGAAAAAGAGATTTTAATCTCAATGAGACTTTTACCTGGTTAAATAAAGGATATATAAAATATATTTATATCAACAACAGCAAACATGTAAGATGTCGAAAGTCAGTAGACAACGAAAGAAGGAATTAACAACATTAATAGTTTAACTTTTCATTATAAAGTAAAAGTTGATTCCACAAAGTAATGGCTTAAGAATTATGACACAGTCCGCCTTTACAATGTCTCCCTATTAGCTTAATGCTTTTTCAGGATGCGATTGGGTTTACCGGTGGGTATTGTTTTCCCCTTCAAAATAAAGAGTACATTTCTGATAGAGAGCTAAACACTGACCTGCAGTTCATCAGGTTATGTGATGAAACATGTCAGGTCTGCTCTGGTTACCTGTGGTGTCCATGCAGAGCCTCAGTCTCTTCAGGACGTCCTGCAGGCGGTTGTGTTTGGGGAGGTGTTGTAGTTTGAGATTCACTCTGATCCTCAGACCTGTTCCCACGTCGGCTGGAGAGCTGCTGACCCAGCCCAGCTGCTGCTTCCAGGTGAACGGGTGTTTGAGTTCCCCGTAAAGATCCTCCAGCTGGAAACAGAGAGAGGAGCAAACAGTTGGAGACTCAAAGGTCCGGGATGTCAAAGGTCATTTTTTTACTGAAGGAACTTTTTCAAGAACTCCTTCTCCTATTGGAAGACAAAAAGATATTCTCCACCACTGACAGTATTTTGAATGTGAAGATGTTTGTGGTTTTTCACTTTGCTTATTGGTAAAACACTGTGAAAACGTGCATTTGCAAATACTGGGAAGCCAAACCCTTACCCCTACTGTGTGTCATTACTTGGAGGTTTATCGTAAATAAAGTAAATCATAATTTTTAACACAAACAATGTTGATACAGATCTCTTTGATATTTACTGGGACATCTGACAGGGATACATCAACTTGTCAGTGATCACTGGTGGATGAACTAGATTGGGATTTCTTTGCTGCTATTTCTTGTTATCGGCCGCCATTAAAGATGCTAAAGTTGAAATTCCAGTATATCTGGGATCAAGGGATTTCCTCCACACAGCTCTAAACATGACAGCTGAAGCGTTGGCTACCAGCCAATGATGCTAAAAATCAGACCCATCACTGACCTTCTGCAGGTTGATGCACATGCATTTGAATGCCTCAGTGATGTTGGCGTCGTCTCGTGTGGACACAAGTCTGAGGTGGTCCTCCATGTTGACCCAGACCACCAGGCTGCCATCTTTACTCACCCTGCAGCAAAGAATAGTGTGACATAACATGTATGACAAGGAAATCTTATCAAACATGTTCCTGGAATATTGAAAAACGCAACCATAAACATTACAGGTTGATAGTGGCAGATTAACTTAGTATTCTTAAGAAGTGTGACATGTGGCGCCTTGCAGGAGTTAAATTGCTGATTTCTCTGATAACTTTACGATTTACTGTGAGAGTCATGGTTAAAAATAGTAATGCTGGATATGGAACTGTTTTATCCAATATCGTTAACCAATATCAGCTGTTTCTCATGATCGACTGGTGAAAAATGTGTAGACATGCTCTCTAGTAGTGTTGTAGTCGAGACCACCTTATCCGAGACCAAGACATTGTCAAGACCGAAGAGTAGCAAGACCAAGACAAGACCAAGACTTTAAGAGGGCGAGACCAAGTCAAGACCAAGGCAGGGCGAGACCGAGTCAAGACCGGAACCAAACTACTGTGAATCCAACACTACATGATACACTTACAATACCGTGTGTAAGATACCATAGACAATTTGATCTGAAAGATCCACATCATAAAAAGACACATATACGTAAGATATAAATTCAATTTCCTCATATTTATTCAAAAAGTTATCCTTTTCATATAAAAACAGTAACATAGTAAGAACATAATATAAAACATCATAATATAAATGTTATGGTATATAGGTCTAAGCAACAAACCATCTTTGTAAAATGTAGCCAAATTGAATGATTGATGCATTTTGAAACATCTTCACTGCAAGACCGTTTGAGTGTAGCAGCCGGTATAAACCAGCGCATGAGGGCAAAGATTCGGAGTCAGGTGAAGTCACGTTATTGGTTGAATTTTTGAAACAGGGCGTTTTACATCCAGTCACATCCCCAGCAACAGCCGTGGTCTCGACCATGGATGTATAATAAGAACGGTCTTGACATAAAATCTCGTGACCTATAGGTCCGAGACAAGACCGAGACCAAATACAGTCGATTCCGAGACAAGACCAATACCGGTCTCGAGTACTACAACACTACTCTCTAGTCAAGCAAGAGTATATTTGGAAATTGCAAACCAATTGTAAAGGTGCATTCCACCTCCTACTACTTGTATATCTTAGTGTGAAGCTACTACGTTCTTTAGTCAAGGAATAGGGTTTCGTATTATCAACAAATAAATCATTGCCTACAAAGACTGTAGGCTACATATCTATAGACTATTCCAATGATCTGCAACACAATAATCAGCACGGATATATTTTGTGCATCCTGAGCAGAAACCGGACAGACCAGACTCCCCGGGCGTCAGGCCAGTCTCGCGCCACACCGATACGGAGCTGAGAGTCAGAAGGCGGGTCAAAGTCCAGCTCCCTCTGCTGATCCTGGTTCAGATCCTCCAGTAAGAGGAGTCGACCCGGCAGATCCTCCTCCAGACGCTGCAGAGCTGAGAGCAATAGGACGACACACTGGTCAACTGGTTAGTATAGGTCCATTTTTACACTGGGTTCATAGTCCCGCCTCCCCCATGCTTTTCTGATTCCATTCGATGTTCATTGTATTATTTCTTCATAAGACTCCACCTGGTCTAAAATCTAAATCTGAAAAAGTGATACATTTTCTAATAGATCAGATTTGAAAAACCTAATTTAGTCTTTGTGGTGACAAAATAAAGATTCCCGCTATGTTTTCAGGTTGATTTAAATGTATTGACCAAGGAGGATATTTGTTTTACAGAAACTTCACATATGCATCCATACTGGGTCAATGAGGCAGCTTGTTCAGGGAAGGGCCACTACTGCAGATGTCACAACACATTTTAGTGTCATTTGATATTGTGCATGCTTTCATATCTGAAGGAGTGTGGGAAGGCAGATGATTTTGGAGACAGTAACGTCCCGTCCACACGGCGGCGTGCGTTGAAGCTTCAACGCAGCTTCCCATTCACTTTGAATGGGGTGACGTGCCTCCATTGCTCGCTTCAAAAGTTGAGAAAAGTTCAACTTTTCAAGCTTCAACGGAAGCGTCAGCCAATCAAATCATATGCCAGTACACGTGCTTGTGTCTCCGGGGCGGGAGATTAATGTGATTGGTTGTTCGTCGCGAGCCAGACACACCCACCGGCAAGCTTCAACGCACGCTGCCGTGTGGACGCACCATAAAGGTAGCTATGAATTCACTGAGATACTCTGAGATATGCAGTACCTCTTCTGGCCAGTGTGAGGAGCTCTCTGCGCTCTCCTCGGCTGCAGTGTGTCGGGAAACAGAAGCCCTCGACGCCTCGAACAACGCTCACCTCACAGCGTACAGCATATGATCTGTCCAAGTCCTCACCCCCCTGCATACACACAGAAACATATCGGTAAACATGTGACACTGACATTGAGCTTGTAAAGCTGACGTGCGAGCATTGCATTTTTCCAGAACATTTCTCTTATACAGACTGGTCTATTTAGACTAAATTGTGTGCTGGATACATGGATGTCACACATGTTTGTTGGCTTGTTCAGTTCAAAGAGTCAAGTAGACAGACTCCATTGACCCTTGCAGATGTAGGCAGATGACAGACGCCAGACACCAAATGCAAAGCAGGCTTTAAATTGGGTTTAACCACAGTGAGAGTTTTCTTTTGACCAGCTACCTTCAGGTTGTCGCAGTTGAAGTCGCTCTCTGGCGTCTGGCTGGTGATTTTGTGTCCGTGATGTGCCTCGATGACACGGTCGAAGAAGTCGCAGAACAGGATGTAGGACTCAGCGTCGCCAGCCACACAGCCCACAGAGGCAGGGCTGCACCAATCACCTTCATACACACACAGACATACACATGTAATCCTACCAGATCGGATCAATTGTTTGTAGAGTTTTCTTACACACTTTTTCGCAAGATTAAATGATCATGTTTTTCTCTCAGCCATCTAGTGGCTACAAAAGGAACTGCAGGTTAACGCACAAGAAACGCATACATACCTATAGCTGCTATCCTGAAAACGTAACCATTTTTTCCCCTCACATGCATTATCTGCCATTAATTTCGTCTGGAATAACTGTAATTATGATAGTTACTTTTGTCTAAACGTTGCTTATAATTAAACCAATCGAACATCAGTAGGTCTTAAACATAGAGAAAAAGACTCAAATTCATGGTAACATCAGTCATTTTTGTAAATACGTCATTACATTACATTGATACATACATTAAAAACAGGACTATTGTTTGCATTACGATCAGCTTAAACACAAGAACAAAAACATGTACTATCTGTTGTCAAAACTTGTTACAAATTCAGAAGACGATCGCTTTGGAACAACCTACTTTTCAACATCTACATTACCGTTATTCTCGACTCTGAAACATATACAGTACTGCATTTCGATGAACTTTGTATTTCTGCTTTGTCTTGAATTTGTGGAATTAAGCAATCTTTGTTTTTGTGTTTTGAACTTCTTTCAATTGTTTACGTTTGACAATTGATATCTTATTAGGGAGGAATGTTCATAAGCTATTTCTGGCATCTAACTTCTCCTGCTCAATGTTCATACTTTTTCTTGAATACAATACTATAATATTACAAAATTGGACATACATGTATACGTGTTAATAAGTAAAATGTCCATGATGTCCTTCTATCAGTTCTTCCTTATTTTAATCCCACTGTGATTCTCTTCACAGCCTCCATCACTCTGACATCATGCTGACATCACCTGGTTCCTCGAGGCCCGGGCGGATGACATCATCAAAGAGCACCCCGCTGTGGGTGCAGCGGTGGAACTGGCGGTGGTACATGGCCGCTGTGAGGATCCGGCCCATCCAGGTGTGGTTCCTGCTCAGGTCAGGGAACTCCTCGTCAGGGGAACCTCTCCTCAGGGGGAAATGGGACATGGGGTCGGGGGGGACCAAACTCTGAACAGGAAGTTGTTGTAGATTAGATTAGGAAGTGTTATTATAGAATTAATAATGGCCCGAACGATATTTCTCATGTGTTTATTTGGATCAAGAGATCAAGATAGATTTCAGGAGCTTACTTATCTTCATATAAATCCAAATAAATAAACAAATGATGATCCAGGGAATTCACTGCAAGGATCATTTTTCACTTCTTGGAGATAAAGCCATAATTCAAAGTTTGTCTTCAGTGTTAGATATCTATGACTACATTACTTCCACTGTTTCAAGGTTTTTATTTTTCACACACTCAACATTTTGCAGTGAAATGCTTTGATGAATACTCCAGGACTGAGTTAAGATAAACATCTTATTCTGCAATATAAACAACAAAGATGTAGAAAGATGATATGTGCAATATTAACTATGAAATATATGGCAGAATAATATTAGATATTCTTCATGAGGTATGTTACCTCCAAAATTGTCCGGTACCTCGTCTCCATGGGGAAATACACTGGAGCTGCATACAAACAAAATAAGAAAATACTTATTGTGAAATTGTGATTGATGCAAAGCCAACATAAAAAATACTAAAAAGGTAGTTGCTCTCCTGTCAAAAATGGCTTCTACACAATGTTGATATTATACAACTGTATCTGTGAGATTATCCTCATATCAAAAACTCTTCATCTAAATCTTGTGTAGAGTCTGGAGAAAAAGAGAACTGAAGGACAGTTAACCACAGGATACAAAGGTTCATAATAATGTTGATGTAGCCATGCTCTCTGAGTTAGTTTACGGAGTGAAAAACACGAGGCATGCAGTGAAAACACTCACGTTTGACCTTCCACATGTTTTCAGCGTGACGACCGTCAGCACAACAAAAGGTCTAAGAATAGTTCTGTTGGTCCTGAGCAGCTCATCCTGCAGGAGTCCAGTTACAGTCCAAACACTGTCGACCTTTTTATAACTGCTCACTGCTGCTGCGTCTCACCCTCCATCAGTGGAGACACTATGACATGATTTCACTCATATCTTTGTTTTCCTTCGCACATTCCTCTGATAATTTCTCATATTTCTTCTTCCACTTTTCAAACTGCAAAGCTCTTCCACTTTTACATTCATTCACTTTTCCCTTTCCTTCTATAACTCGTGTTTTCCTTTCATCCCTTCTTACCGTCTCAACACTGGAAACATAGGAAATAGTTTCAGCTTTTTAAAAAAAGGAAAACACAACAGTGTGGATAAAACTCAGAGGAAACAGAGAAATAAAACTCCCCCATTGTCTGCCTTATTTAACTGCACTGCATCCACTCAGCCAGCAGATGTCCTCCAATACATTCACTGTGCTTTAAGTAGTAACACATTTATAAAACAATCCGCTTAAAAACATACACACGCACAATCTCTATGATGGCACCTCTTTTAAAGATTATTTTTACTATTCTTCTGCATACGGTTGTTTAATTAATTAATTAATTGAATTTAAAAATGTGCGTAATTTACACATCCACACCACCGTTTCAAATGGCTGATTTTGTCCCTATTAGTGTTAAATAATTGAATGGTATATACAAATTGTCTGAACAAAAATCAAACTTCTATTTTAACTTGATGATGACACTCTAAACTCAATAGTTTACCAGATAGGGGGTTGGACATTTGTGTGGCAAATTGGGAAAGCCAAGCCCAGCGCCGTATAGATAGGGCTCTGCCCATAACCAGTTTTCAAAGTAAAAGCCCCCACCTTAGAATTTCACGATGTATTGAAATTTCGTAGGCAAATGAAGACATACGGTGGGACGTACAAAACAGCCCTTGAAGTTGTATTGTTAACACAACAGCAACCTTTCTGAGACAACAACTGTTTATTATGTTTATCTAGCATTACATTATTTTGTCCCTACTTTTCATTAGATAACATTCAACTTGCAATGTTCAACATTCATTTGGACTAAATACTTTTAAATGTTCCTACCTACTTTTTGTCTGCTATTATAATTATGCTTATCATATTTTACATTTGCTGGACAACACCATTTGAAAAAATAAAATGCATTCTGCTAATGCTTTATTTTCTTTACGACTGGATAGTAGCGACATGCAGGTGTGTCCGCACTGAGGAGGCGTGATAAATAATCACAAAGCAGCATCGCTTCCTGCTTCCTCACATGATCTAAGGCAGGCAAAACAGGGTGGCAGTTGAGCAGTAACACCGTAAAGGTAACTTACCTGGTTGTTTAACTATCAATAAAATAATAAACATCATTAAAAAGTAGGCCGAAAGTACAGCTGGAACTAAGTATGCAAGAGGGTTAATTCAATTACGTTTCTTAACTCAGCTAGTGGTGATATTTATCCTTGACTTTTAAAGTCAGAGGAGCTGGGTGAAGAAATGCAATATGGGAGACTTCTTTACGACCGGCCAAGCTTTGGATCCGGAGACAGCACAGTTTGGTAAGATGATTCCTTTTTGTGTCTGTGCCCTCTTTTTCCATTTTCTTTTTGTGAATCAGTTCAGACTTCAATGTTCAGACTTTGTGACACAGACTCTTACATTAGATAATGTATGAGGGTGGAAACCGGACCATTGCAAACCTGTTTCCTGACTCATTACATAGCATTTAGCTTACGCTTTTTGTCACTCATATCAACACAATCTCAGATGTCTTACAGGCCTGTAATAAAGCAGGTGTCTCGGCATTGTACAGTATATGCCTAATGCTCCTAATGTTTATAATCGATCACATTTCTGTACATTTTGCTGTGTATGACTAACTGTGACAAAAAAACGAAAAACAAATTAAATTGTCAATTCAAGCCTAGTTTTATTAATATAGTGTCAGAGTAAGTAGTTATACCAAAACTATTTTCATATAGTACAGGCCTTGACTGTTATTTTACAGTAGCGAACGTCCCCTTCAATAATAGCACAATAAAAGTATGACTAATAACGAGAAGGTAGCAGTGTGCATCAAGTAGAACAGGTGCAGCCACAACCATGGCAAAACAATGACTCATGGCTACCTGCAAAACAAGAAAGGTAAAGAAAATGTGTCTCGCTGCAAGAGTCTAAGCCGGAATGAGGGTGTTGCATGCTCTACACTCTACACGTCTACATACTTAAAGCTCCCTGAGAAAAAATGGTGATATCAGGGCATATACAAACAATTATAATAATGTGATGGAATATCTTGGCGAATGTCATCCATCTTGGCATTGAGGAGCTTTTTGACTGCCTTAGTGTAATCTACCAAAGCATTGGACAGGGCCTACCATCAGCCATCAAGTTATTTATCCTCCATGGAAAACATTACAACACATTACATTTCATTTAGATGTGTCAAACTCAAGGCCCGGGGGCCAAATCAGGCCCGTGGTGGATTTAATTTCGGCCCACAGAATAATTTCTAATGACTATTAGATCTGGCCAGCCGGTATATTGCACGCACACCTTCACTCCATCCTGAGGGTCTCCTCAGCTCAGAGCCTGACCCCAAACATTGATGAACTTGCACCCAAGATGAGATGCCAAGTATCTGCTTGAACTAGCATCACAGAGCAGCACACTGAGTTTAAATGGATGTTTCCTTCTGCACTTTCTTTCTTGAGACAACAGGGCATGTTTGGTTTTCTCTTTGAGGGAAATAGTTTTTTGAAGCTGTTGTTGGCCTGTGGAAAAATGTAATCATAAGAAATGACTCTGGAAAAGCTGCAGATAGAGCCATAAGAAATGAATGCAACTGATTATTTAATGTTTAATGTTGTTTTTATAGGCAATAATTTAAGCTTTGTTAGTTCCAGGTTTAATATGTGCAATAAGTTCATTTCAATACGTTCAGCTATAAACATTGAATCAGTCCGGCCCTCGACTAGTAACCATTTTTTTATTTTGGCCCACTGTGTGTTTGAGTTTGACCCCCCTGATTTAGATGATGCTTTTATCCAAAGCGACGGACTAACCATGGTTGCATTTAAACATAAAGATACAAATAAAATAAAAAACAATCCTTCCTAAGTGCTGTGTTTTTATTTGATTCATTAGCTAAGTTTAAGTCGAAACCAGTGTGTTGACAATCTGCAAGGACGTTATTATTTTGTGTATCTTTTCTCAATCAGCTGAAAACCAGAGGGGAGCAGGAAGCACAACAGGTATTGCCCAGGATAGAAGTGTTGTCAACCAACCTCAGCTTACAAATGTTTCTGCCGAAACAATAATCATCAACACATATGGTATGTTTCTCTTACATTTATAAATCAAATACAATGTCATCTTGCTGTCTAACTATTTAAATCCCTAAAATCTGACCAAACATGCCTTAAATGTGGGGTAGGTAATTTTGCAGAAACCAGCTCGAGTGCGCTAGAATTTGAAAATACACAACCGGAACAAATCTGCCCCTTCCTTACAGAGCCCCTCCTCCAACACACACAAACACGCACATGACCAATGAGGGCACGAGATAAGTTTGTGCCCAGATGGAAGGCTGACAGGCAGATAGGCCATCCAGTTACTTTAGCCGGGCCGGCTCAGATGATTGGTCGTGCTTTTTACAGCGCCACGGCTTCCAGAGATGAAATATTTTTGTATGGATTTTTTGTCAAAGCACTTAAAGATATTCATTGCTATCGGGATGTTAAGAGCATTCCATGGAATATAACAACAAGTGTATCTCGAGCCGGTTTCTCAAACTTACCCCACCTTTAAATGATTTTGCATTTCCCACATGATGTTGCATGTTTGTGTTTTAGGCCAGGGTCCTGATAGGACGGACAACACAAATTCCAGTTCTCCACAAAACAAAGGTATTTTCCGTGCAAACAGATATTTCAAAACCAAATTTCCTTTTTTTCTTTCTTTCATTTCCGTCATCTGTCCATGTTATATTCCATGTGATGTTTTGTGATATATGCTAACCTTTGATATTTATTATCCATCCATTTAGGGTGCTGTGTTTCTTTTTTTGTTTACAAATTCTGTTTACTGACCGAAGATTTGTCCTAGTCAATCTGAAATATGATCTGGTCAGGTTCTTCTGTTTTGCCTGCTGTAGTTTGTCTGAAAACCTAGTCCTTAAAACAAACATACAGTACTGTATTTTTTTATCTTGTAAAAGTACAGGAAAATAATGAATTTATGATGTTTTTCATCTTTTAGCAAACATAAAAAGATGCCAAGCTGAACTGAAATCGTACATTGAAAATTCAACAAAGAACCTCTATCAAGGAACAAAGGATTATGGATCATCTCCTTTAAAAGAGATCTATACAGAGCTTTACATCACAAAAGGTGGCAGTAGGGAGGTCAATAATGAACATGAAGTGATTCAATTAGAATGCAGAAGGAATTTGTTTGAGGAGAAGAAAATCCAGCTCAATGACATTTTGAATGCTTTTTCAAATGAAGACGACCCTCCAAAAAGAGTTCTGACGACGGGAATCGCTGGCATTGGAAAATCTGTCGCTGTGCAGAAATTCCTTCTAGACTGGGCATCAGGAGAAGCCAACCAAACCACTCAGTTCATATTTCCATTCACATTCAGAGACTTGAATTTGATAAAAGATGAGCCTTGGAGTCTTATGACGTTAATAGTTAACTATTTTGATGAAGTGAAGGACTTCTCAGACTCAGACTACTGCAATTCAAGTGTTTTGTTTATCTTCGATGGCCTAGACGAAAGCAAACTACCTCTTAACTTTGAGAAAAATGAGATGTGCCGCAGCGTTAAAAAGATCACAACCGTGGACGTTCTGCTAACCAACTTAATCTCAGGGAAACTGCTGCACAAAGCTTCGATCTGGATCACCGGGCGACCAGCTGCAGCTGCTAAGATTCCTCCCGAGTGCATCGACAGAGTGACCGAGGTACGAGGCTTTAATGATGAGCAGAAGCAGCAATACTTTCAGAGGAAAGTTTCCAACAACGACACAGCTCAGAAGATCCTCGATCATCTGATGTCAAAGCCATTAAGAAATCTGTACATTATGTGCCACATCCCAGTCTTCTGTTGGATTACAGCCACAGCTCTTGAATATCTCCTTAGTGACACAGATGAGTTGCCCAAGACTGTAACTGAAATGTACACACACTTCCTGGTCATTCAGACAAAGCTTAACAACCAGAAGGATTATCAGGAAGTTGAAATAGACAAAGATGTGATCATGAAATTGGGAAAGCTGGCATTTGAACAGCTACAGAAGAGCAACATAATCTTCTCTAAGAAGGACTTGGAAAGTTGTAAAATATCTCTGACACAAGCAGCAGTTTATTCTGGAGTTTGTACACAGATCATAAGAAAAGAATATGGGCTTCACAAACAAGAAGTTTACTCTTTCATACATTTAAGTGTTCAGGAGTTTCTGGCAGCTCTGTATGTACTAGAGACCTTCTTAAATTGTGGGGGAAATCTGCTTTCCAGTCAGACACGTGTAAAGGTGGCATCAGAGACAGGATACGTTTTTCTCCTCCTCCTCCACATGCAAGCTGTGAATACTGCTTTGACCAAAAATGGACTATGGGACTTGTTCCTGCGCTTCCTTCTCGGTCTGTCTCAGGATTCAAATCAGAAGCTTCTTCAGAAAGTATTTGGATTCAAAGAAAGACATCCACAGAGCAACAAGGAGACAATCAATTTCATTCATGAGAAAATCAGGAGACTGTCGAACACCGACAAAACAATTAATCTGTTCCAATGTTTAAATGAGCTGGGAGACCAGTCTCTGTTAGAGCAAGTCCAAAAGTACCTGAGATCAGGAGATGTTGGTAAAATATTACCTTCACATTGGTCTGCCCTGGCCTTTCTTCTGCTCGTCTCCAACGAAGACGTGGATGTCTTTGACCTAAAGAAATACAACAGATCAGAGGAAGTTCTGGAGAGGCTGCTGCCAGTCCTAAAAGCATCAAGGGTAGCTTTGTAAGTAATCTACCTTAATGAACACAACTTATCTGAAGCTCTCAGATTGTGTAAATATATCAAAGGACAGATGGGCGCATCTGCAAAATGTTAAAAGGCCTTTTGTTTTTCACTTTAGGCTAAGTGACTGTAACCTCACTCACCGATGTTGCAAGTACATTTCAGAAGTTCTCAGCTCGAAGTTTTCTGGTCTAGAGGAGTTAGACCTTAGCATAAATGGTCTGCATTACTCAGGAGTGAGGCTGCTCTCTGACGGACTAAGAAGTCCCAACTGCAAACTCAAGATTCTCAGGTAAGGAGATGCATATTATGCACAGTATCCGTGTGGTGATTTATGATATGATAAATAAGGACTGTGGGACACTTAGGGTGCGTTTAAACCTCACCGTATAATTCAGTTAAAAAAAAACTCAGGTCTGTTTTCCTGGTTACTACAGTTTGTTTTGGTTGTTATAAATATGGGCTCAGAACAGTCTCATAATACACACATGCACACAGAAGGATTCAAACTTGTATTTCATGATCCGCAAAAGGATTCACACTTGTGTTTTTCAATGCACAAATGTGTTCCATTTCATATACAAAATCCAAAAAAAGTTTGGAGGCAGGCAGGCTCCATGGAGCTGTCATCTCCGGACTGCGCAAAATGCGTATATGAAGTGCTACGTCATGAACGCAAGAAATCTACCCTCGTGGGGGTGTGCTCATGTGATTGGCTTAGAATTTAGGAGACATCTGATTGGCTATAGATAGAAAAAATTACAAGTACGAATCGGGTGACCGTCAGGGGAGTCTCAAAAAACCCACACACGAATGCACAGCGATCCGTGCACAGAAAGCGGTTTGTGTTTGCAGAGGTTTTAAACGGAAAACAAATATGTGAGGATCAAAAATACTCATGTAAAACTTTTTTCTGTATTTGGATTTTATTTACATGTGTATGAAACGGAACACATTTATGTGTGCATTGAAAAACACAAGTGTGGATCCTTTTGCGGATCATGAAATACAAGTTTGAATCCTTCTGTGTGCATGTGTGTATTATGAGACTGTTCTGAGCCCATATATAAAAGTTGTCAATTGAACCCTACAGACCAAACACCTAAGTCAGGGTCTGCTGATTGTGAAATCTGTTCAGGAAGCAATGATAGGTGAGCAGGTGAGGTGATGATACTTTGAGGAAAGGGCAGAGTTCCTGGGTCAGAAGTGACAAAATAGTTGGTAAGAGCAGCATTCATGAATGTATTGGTGGATGAGTAATAAAGCCAGGAATTAGTCTAGTTACTATCCTCCAGGATGGTGGTGTGGTCTTTGACCTTGGCTTTCAGCTGCTCTTTTGCTCTCAATGAGCTCGACCTGAGCTTCAACTGCCTGAAGGACAAGGGAGTGAAGCTGCTTTATCCTTGGCTGGGGAACCCCAAGTGTAGACTGGTGATCCTGAGGTGAGACATCTAAGATAAAGATGATCTCTTTTAATTCTTTTTTTCTCTGGAAACGTGCTGGGTAATTAAATGTATATAGTTTTTTTTAAATAATATATTAAATCAGACTCAAACTGCAACTGCTCACCTCACCCACTGGGACAAAGGTCAAAGTCTGACTGTATGATACCACTAATTTTTGATTTGAGATGGTTGAGAGGTTAATTGTTGGTCAGACTGGAGCTGCTATTTAGCCACTGGGTGAGTTGTCTAAATCTGAGGCTGCCACTACAGGTTATCATGTATAAATAATACTGTTCTCCCCGACAGACTGGCTAGCTGTGAGTTTACTGAGAGAGGCTGTGCTGCACTGGCTTCCAGTCTGAAGTCAAACCCCGCCCACCTGAGAGTCCTGGATCTGGCACACAATTTCCTCCAAGATGATGATGTGGAAAACCTTTCTGAGTTCTTGGCAGAGCCACTTTGTCAACTGGAGACACTGACGTTAGTTCTGTTTGCATTATCACACTTCTCTATTATTTTATTTTATTTTATTACATGTGTTTCAATGTGTTATCAGAAAATATGTTCATTCAGCAGCTTCCCCATGGTCTTCACAGGAGTTATTTTGGTTAACAAATACTTTATTCAGAAATCTACTGAAAAATACCTCATACTGTGTTATTAACCATTTCCTTTTTTCCCTTCCTTCTGTATTTATACTCTTTAACAAAAAGTAAAAAACTGTAACAAAAAAACGTTATTTAAATGTCTACTTCCAGTTTGAACCACAGCAGGATGACGGCAGTCGGCTGTGGGTCTTTGACTATTGCTCTCAGCGGCTCCTCTGCTATCAAAGAGCTCAACCTGAGCTTCAACTCCCTGCTGGACGAGGGGGCCATCCGGATTTCAGATTTGCTGAGGAATCCACAGTGTAGACTGGAGATACTGAGGTGAGACTTTTCAGATCATTTCCAGTAATGCTTACTTTCCTGGCCACCTTTTATGTTGATAATATACCTGTAGTGTCTAGTTTTTTATTTAAGATAACTTTGTTGTTGGTCAGACTGGAGCTGCTATTTAGCCACTGGGTGAGTTGTCTGAATCTGAGGCTGCCACTACAGGTTATCATGTATAAATAATACTGTTCTCCCCGACAGACTGGCTAGCTGTGAGTTTACTGAGAGAGGCTGTGCTGCACTGGCGTCCAGTCTGAAGTCAAACCCCGCCCACCTGAGAGTCCTGGATCTGGCACAAAATAAACTCAGAGATGGTGATGTGGAAAACCTTTCTCTGTTCTTGGCAGAGCCACTTTGTCAGCTGGAGACACTGGAGTGAGTATTGTGTTCATTATCCCAATTTATGTAAAAGGGAAAAAATGCATTCCCCACTAAAGTTCCTACGTTAAGTTTATTAAGACAATACAATCATGTTGAACTGTACTGTAACAACACTTTCAAGTGTTTTGTTAAGTTTTTGTCATTATTATTATTTCTCCTTCAAAGACATATTCTATATTATTACAACAGTTTTTTTACTATGTTCTCATTAATTATCTCTGTCGATACATAAAAAACACTAAATCTGGTCACAATAACAATAAAGCATATTATAAACCCTAAATTATTTAAATTATTTTATTTATACTTCTCCGCAATAAAGTAACCACAGAAAACTATCACTGATTGAAAAACTGTATGTCTTTCTAGCCTGAATTCCTGCACGTTAAATGTTGCATGCCTCCGGTCTTTGACCTTGGCCTTCAGCGGCTCCTCTGCTCTCAAAGAGCTCGACCTGAGCGAAAATCGTCTGATGGACGAGGGGGCAATCCTGCTTTCTGATTGGCTGAGGAAAACCCAGTGTAAACTGAAGATACTGAGGTGAGACTTATCTAGTTAGTCAGACTCAGACTGCTCAGCCACGAGGACAGAGATCCGCATGTGACCATTTTTTATTTAAAACCTTTTTTTTTTCAACAGACTGGTCTACTGTCAGGACATTTTAATGTATTTAGTTTTTTCAAATAAAATATCATATTACATCAGACTAAAACTGCAACTACAGCTCAGCCACTGGAACCCACAGGTCTGGGTCTGAAGGTGCCACAACATGACCACTTTTTAAACTTTTTTTTTTATCTCAACAGACTAGTTAACTGTCAGATTACTGAGAGCGGCTGTGCTGCACTGACTTCCAGTCGGAAGTCAAACCCCGCCCACCTGAAAGGCCTGGATCTGATACTCCAATATCGTAAAGTTGAAATAATGTCTGAGCTCTTGGGATGTCCACAGACCTGAGACTGAAGTGAGTGCTGTTGCCATTGTCACCCTTTGAATAAAAGGGAAACAAATGGTGTCTTTGGCATCATTTTCAAATTTCAGTCTGATAACTCACATTTACTTATACTTATACTTATACTTATACTTTGCATCTAGGTTTCGGCTTCATCACTGCATCTATTTTTTTTCACCAAATATTGAGCAGTGATGATTAAATAACCTTCCCCCAAAACTGCAGGGCCTAAGAGCCTTATGGTGCCGATATAAGACTGCCATGTGTAGGCTTGGGACCAGCCACAATTAGCCATTTCACCTAAGCTCATTGGCTATGGGGGGAACATAATCAAATCAAATCCAATGAAGTTTTATTTATATAGCACATTTTTAAAACGATTTTTGGTCTTGCCAAAGTGCACTTTACAATAAAAAAACACTTTACAACAAATACAACAGCACAAATAAAAAATCACACACAGGGAAATGTGAGGAGTCGTGCTCCGCTCAGACTAGAAGGCCAGGGAGAAGAAGTGAGTTTTAAGTGTAGATTTAAAAAACGCTAGGGTCTGGGCCGACCTCACATGGAGGGGCAGAGTGTTCCAGAGCCTGGGGCCAGCTGCTGCGAATGCTCGGTGCCCTCTGGTTTTGAGCCTGGTCTTGGGCACTATCAGCAGCAGCAGCTGGTCAGCAGAACTTAAAGCTCTGGCTGGGGTGTAGCGCTGGAGGAGTTTGGCGATATAGGCCAGAGCCAGCCCATTTGGGCTTTAAAAACAAATAAAAGGAGTTTAAAATCAATTCTGAACCGAATTGGAAGCCAGTGCAGTGAGGCCAGAATTGGGGTGATGTGGTCACGCTTTTTATGGCCAGTGAGAAGACGTGCAGCTGCGTTCTGCACTAGCTGCAGGCGTCTAATTGATGCCTGGTCCATACCCACATACAGAGCGTTGCAATAGTCTTGAGGTAACAAAGGCGTTAATGACCCTTTCTAGGTCTTTAAAAGATAAAAACGACTTGGTCTGGCCCAATAGTCGTATTTTAAAAAAGCAGGTCTTGACTACGGTGCTGACCTGCTTTAAAAGCGCTATTGAAGGTCACTCCAAGGTTCGTGACAGAGGGGAGGATGTTTTTATTGAGAGAACCCAGAATTTCAACCGGGGAGGTTGGAGGTTGGGGTCCAAAAAAGATGACCTCGGTCTTGCTCTCGTTGAGGTTGAGGACATTTTGGCTCAGCCAGGATTTGATTTCTGTTAAAGTGGACCTATCATGCTATATTTGAATAATATAGTGTAGGACCATACCTATATAAGGCATATGTATAGTTTTTATTTTTCAAAATACCAAACAGATCATGCATTTTTAGCCATTCCTCATTTCGCTCAATTTAACACTGTTTTTGCATGGGCTGATTCTGTGAGAACAGCACTATCTACAGGCCTGGCATATGTACTACATCGTCTCCAGCGCTTTCGAACGGCAATGTCCGTGGTTGTCTCCTCCTGATTGGTGGAGTTGGCCCAATAGCCGTAGCGCCACTTCTGTGATGTCACAGAAGTGTTCAAATCTGGATCAGTCTGTATCAGATCCGTTGCAGCCTCTTTTTAAGAGATTTGGGTATGGAGGAAAATAGAGAGGGTTGTGTTTTCTGACACTTGGTGAGTTCCCTGGAACACCGGGGACACATATTTATGTATAAAAGACGTACAAAAGTGCAGTTTGCATGATAGGTCACCTTTAAGCAGTCCATCAACTGCTGTAGTGAGTTGACATTTGAATTGAGAGGCAGATAGATCTGTACATCATCGGCGTAACAATGGAAGGGGATGTTGTGTTTTGTGAGAATTGAACCTAGGGGCAGTATGTACAGTAGAAAAAGGATGGGGCCCAGAATCGAGCCTTGGGGAACCCCACAGGTAAGAGGGGCTTTAGCAGAGGAGAAGGTTCCTAGCTGCACTGAGAAGCTACGGTCTGTCAGGTAGGACTTGAACCATGCAAGGGCAGAGCCTGTGATGCCTGAGGACTGTTCAAGCCGTGACCACAGGATGCTATGGTCCACAGTGTCAAAGGCAGCTGTCAGGTCTAACAGCACCAGGACAGCTGGGCTACCTGAGTCGGCGGCTAGAAGCAGATCATTAAAAACTCTTAAAAAGGCTGTTTCAGTACTGTGTATGGGTTTGAAGCCAGACTGAAACTTTTCATGGATGCCATGTGTGGTTAAGAACGACTGTAGCTGGACATAGACTACTCTCTCCAGGGCTTTAGATAAAAAAGGTAGCTGGGAGATGGGCCTAAAATTTGCAAGAATGGAGGGGTCAAGATTTTCTTTTTAAGTAGTGGCTTAACCACGGCATGTTTGAAGGCAGCTGGGACACATCCTGAGCTAAGAGAGGTGTTTATAAGTAATAAAACACTTGCTCCAACTGATTCGAAAACATCTCTGAGAAGGCGAGAGGGAATGCTGTCTGAGGTGCAGTTTGTCGGCCGCAGGTGCTTGACAACATCCGAGAGAGTAGAGAGGGATACAGGCTCTAAGTGGTCGAGGACAGCAGGGCACAGAAAAGGAGCAGAATCTGGGGTAGCATTAGTGTGGGCTAGCCTAAGAGCAGATACTTTTTCGATAAAAAATGTAAGAAATGTATCACAGAGAGTAGGCGATGGCACAGTTGGAGAAACATCACAGGGATTAATGATCGAGTTGAGGACATTAAAAAGAACCTGAGGTTTATGGCTATTTTTGGAGATTAACAGATAAATGTGCTCTGTTTTGGCTGCTTTGACTGCCGTCTGGTAGTCGGAAAGGCAAGCACGAAGGATTTCTAAGGAGACATGGAGTTGATCCTTTTTCCATGTTCTCTCTGCACGCCTGCAGGTGCGTCTGAGAGCGCGAGTATAGTCATTGAGCCACGGCTCTGAGAGAAATTTGGTGCGTCTAAGCGTAAAAGTAGCAACATAATCCAGTATTAGTGTACATGTCGAGTCAAACATGGAGATAAGGTCATCCGCACTAAAAGCACATTTACAGATCGAAGAAGCATTAAAAACATCAGAAAACTGTGAGGCAGTCAAGGGGTTAATTGAACGCAGACGACGCGCAGGGGCACGTGATTCAACTCTTGCGGAAGGGATCGAAGTTGTAAACAGAACCGGTAAATGGTCTGAGATACCCGTTGCTGCACATATTTCATCCACAGAGACAGAAAGCCCAAACGATAATACTAAGTCCAAAGTGTGTCCTTTTTCGCGTGTTGGACCAGCCACAGACTGAATGAGACCGAAAGAATTGAGGAGATTTAAAAAGTCCATAACCAGAGGTTTGGACTCGCAACACACATGGACATTGAAGTCTCCGCAAATCAAAACACGATCATATTTCACCATGATCCCGGACAGAAAGTCAGAAAAGTTATTGTTGAAATCCTTATTGCACTTTGGCGGACGAAACACGACTGCGCAGAGCAATATCTGGTTTCCGCACAAAACACAGCACCAAAGCAGCCCTGGTCAAAATCACCAACAACCTCCTCCCTGCAGCTCACTCTAGACTGCTCACCATCCTTATCCTCCTCGACCTCATAAGTGCCTTTGACACCATCTCCCATGCACTACTCATCAAACGCCTGGCTGACATTGGCATCAATGGGGTTGCACTCACATGGTTTTCTTCATATCTCACTGACAGACAACAATATGTTCAATTCAACTCAACATCCACTGGTCCAGCTAGTCCACTGTCTCACATGGTGTCCCCCAGGGGTACACATGCTCTTCATCGTCTACCCCCTTCCCCTTCACACTTTCCTCCGTCACTATAAGGTCCTCTTCCACTGCTATGCAGATAACACACAGGTATATATCACCACCAAACCCAACACTGACCTGCCCCCCACCTTTCTCACCACCTGCCTCCAGGACATCAGGAGCTGGAGGAGCAGGAACTTTCTGAAGCTCAATGGAGGCAAAACAGGAGCCCTGCTTATCGGCTCCAAACCCACCCTCAACAAAGTTCAATCCTACCCTTCTCCCAACATAATCATTGATAGCTTCTCCGTACCGTTCTCCAGTCAAGTAAAGATCCACAGTGTCATACTGGAAAGCACCCTCTCCTTTGCACCTCACATCAAAAATATGATTATTATTTAGTGAGACTACTTATATGTAGGCCTGGGACCAGCAACAAGCCCATTCCCCGTAGGCTCCTCGGCCATGAGGGGAAAATACTATCTATAAAACAGCAAACCTTCGGCAAGCATATAGACAACATATAAGCAAGCTTGGCTTGGTTGATCGATAATCAACCAAGCCACCCTGATTTCCAGAGTCCTCAAAAGAACTTCACAGAGACTGGAGGAACTTTGCAAGTATTGCTGCATGTTGCCAGCATTGAATTAATACAAACTGATTTCAAGTAAACCCCAGTAGAAGCATGTAATATGGAAAATAGTATAGGACCTAAGATGGAGCTGAGAGGTTCACCACATAAGACAAAATAGGGAGAAACAAAAAGTACACACCAACATTTTGTGAGGTATGATTTTAACAGTTTAATATGACATTAAACCAAATTCTTTCTCTTTGTAGATGTCAGATGGCTCAGAGAGAAGACGTGATTTTCTGGCTTCACTCCAGGATAATTTGCTTTGAAGCTGCCGTCTCATTTACAGGAGAAAACGAGTTACAAACTAAACACACCAACTGTGACAAAGTGATTTATTGGTGATATATGAACTGGACCAGAACTTAAATACAACAACAGCAAATGTTCTTCCTTTGGTCTGGACCAAATGAACTGAAACACAGGTGTGAATACTTCAGTTACTTCAGTGTTATGGATTTGCTGGCATCTCTTCATGAATACCCTGCAATGTACGAGATGTAGAGTGCTAATCAGTGGTATCTTTTAGGATCTTCGCCTCACTTAAACGCTGTCCTTATCATAACACTGTTTAGCGTATCAGGGAACAATTGTGGGCATCATGTAACATATAAACAAGACATCTCTAAAAGAGCATCTGCTCTCTTTGAAGGTTTCATTGTAGAAAAAGCCCTTACATTTACAAGTGTTAAGTATGGTTGCCTAAAGAGTGCTTTTACATGTAATGAACTGTTATATTTTTTGTTGTGGTAATCCTAGAAACTTTTATTACAAGTGATCTGTATATATGTTTTTCTTTATTGTTTTATGTCTTATATATATATATATATATATATATATATATATTTATGTTGTATTCTTTGACTTGGAACTTAAAGGTCCCATGTCATGGCCATTTCTACTGATCATAATTCCATTGTTGAGGTCTACTAGAATAGATTTACATTGTTACATTTTCCAAACTCACATTGGTTTCTCATACAGCATATCTGTATAGTATGTGTATTCACTCTCTGTCCTACACGCCTTGTTGGAGCTCCTGACCCCCCCTCCCTATGAGCCCACTGTGTCCACCACCGAGTCCACCACCGTTATAGCGGAACAGCAGTGATTATGTGTTACAATGGCGTTTGTTAGCAACCAGAAAATGACACCAGTAATGACAAACAGATGAGAATGCTGCGTGGGGTCTGGGTGCCGTGTTGGCGGGACGTTGCGGGGCTCGCTGCTCCGCCCTTTGAGGCTCGAGGAGCGGACAGTGTGAGCTGGATTAGTGGTGTCGCTTCCTGGTTGCTGCGTGGGGTCAGCGAGACACCGCGGAGCTCAGCCTGAGCACACACATTCACAGCCTGTGTGTGTGTGTGTGGACAGGTCTTTTCTGTGTTAGAGTTTTACTCGCTACAGGGTGTACTTTGAGGGTTTGTGACTTTGTAGACCGTTTACAAAACCTACATAACACACAAGGGGAAGGGTAATAACTGGAAAAGCATGACATGTGACCTTTATAATTTGCATTTCCATATATATACACTCTAGCTACTTGCGCATATTACAATAAAGCCTTTGTATCATTGAGTGTTTATCCACATAACTTGTTCAATTGTTGTATTGTATTTCTTTGTGTTGATGCAGCCATAGATAAGTTCTGTGCTGGGCATGTTATTAAATCTGGTTTGATGCACAGGAGTTAACTTCTTAGTACAGCGGATCCTGATGTGCAATGTATACAGTTATTATTCCGGTTATTACCTGTTGTTCATAGTGTTAATGGTTGAGCTGAAACAAGAATACATGTGTAATGTCTCACTGTTACCTGAATTGCTAATGAAACTTGATGACTAGATAGGACAGGATATAACATGTCTGTACGGTTTTCCTAATTAAACATCTTGATGGTAAGTTTAAACAAAAATAACTTGATGTAAGTTATTACAGTACACTGTTTCGACATCCTGTTTTAGTGTAAAAGGACATTAATCTAACTGTAGCCATCAGATTAGGCTTTGTTTTCTTTGTACTAATGAAGGAACGTTGTAATATTTGTATCAGTGCTGATTATTGTTCAAATTTGATTAAACCACAATCACATCCGAACATTAACAACAAGATGGTACTGCAAGTCTGGATACCTGTATCCCTGCAAATAGAAAAAGTTAATGAACACAAAACACCAGACCAATCATATACCTTTATCTCCACTGCACTCATTCAAAGGAAACCATTTTAAGTCATTATGAACTATTGAAAACATAGTCATGAGTATTATATTCTATTCAAAGGGAAAATGCTCAAAACTCGTGAATCACAACACATCGTCATTTCATACACTGTTAAACAATTTTCAAATAAGTTCAGGCAAGTTGACTCTTTGACCGTGTTCAGTTTAATCAACCAGTTATATTGCATACAACAAAAAAATCAATCAGTCTTGAATAATACATTAGCTGCCACATTAACATGTCATCTCACTTTCTTTAAATAACACATTTTCCCAAAAGAGAATTTCTTAACTATTCGTTTGAGATAATACACAGTGGCTGCGAGGGAGTGCGGTCGTCTTTCAATCAGAAGGTTGTGGGTTCGATCCCAGCCCATGCAGTCAACATGTCGATGTGTCCTTGGGCAAGATACTTAACCCTGAGTTGCTCCCGATGGCATGGCCAACGGTGTGTGAATGTGTGTGAATGTTAGTTCCTAGAGTAACATACACTGCTCTGTATGAATGGGTGTGAATGGGTGAACGACATGTAGTATGTAAAGCGCTTTGAGGGGTCTTAAAGACTGGATAAAGCGCTATATAAGTACAGTCCATTTACTGATGATAAATGTCTGTGTGTTGAATATTTTCCTGGTTCTCAGTACAAAGACACTTTTAAGTCCTGACCGATACCAAATATCTGCAGATGTTCTGATCATGTGGAAGATGGATTTAAATAACCTCGTCTGAGCAATAGTTTTTCACAGACAACAAATTCATGATTTTAAGATAACGGACATTAAATAAATTATGAGTTACCACAGTTTTTGTGGGTGCTGGACCTCTAGACGATCCCTGAAATGATCCTAAAGCTTAAGGAATAGTTTACAATTGTTGGCAAAAAGAGGTGTATCAATCCGTCAGAAAGAAAGATAACATTTCCTGAAATGTTATCTCACTAATACTTTAAATAACACTTTTCTGTAGAAAAATAAAACAGTGAAAATTGCATTAGTTATGACCACCAGAGGGCGCAACAGTAAATTATAAAAACTAATCGTTCACACGGTAACTAGCGCTGAACGACTACAGCTGCTCTAAACCCGCCATGTCCACCTTCACTTTAACAAACATCGTGTCCTCGTTGACATACGCAGCATTTTGAGGCTTTTCCAGCTTGATGAGCGGAATGAAGCACGAGAATCCAACAGCGACGTTACCGGCCATCTCATCTGTCGGTCGCTGGAAGCTTTTGGACGTCAGGTCGGGTTTGAAGCTCAGACTTTGATGGTTTCCAGCACCGCTTTGATCCAAAACCGACAGAGCCACGGTTTGTCTGAAAGGCCACGGCAGCAGAGCGTCAAAGTCTCCCACCATCAGGACCACATAAAGAGAAAGGTGAGTCCCTCTTCCCTCCCCGTCCCCGTTCAGATAGACCTTGGAGGCCATTTTGTATCCGCACGGTCCGGTGTGGAACGGCACGCTGCTCAGGCAGGGCGGATGACCTTTGACCTCGGATTCCCTCTTGTTCCTGAAGTCCTCGATCTTCCAGATGAGTTTTCCGTCGTTTGAAGTGGCTTCGAGCTCCTGCAGGTGCTCCCTGTGGGTTCTGAGCTGAGTGGCGTGGATATCCAGGAGACCAGAGTGACGCTTCATATTCTCCTCCAACGTCCCTGGAAGAAGGAAAGGAAAGCAGTTTTTAGTGAACTACAAGGTCTTAAACCTCGGACTGTGAACTGCATCTTCTTGCAACAGGAAACATCTCATGTTTGGGGTATCGGGAAATAATAACTGCCCCTTTAAAAATATACTGTGAGTAACTTATACTGTACTGTACTGCAGTTTAGCACTTCTGGTTCCGTTGTCTTGAAGTCGATGGGTTTTTGAGTAACAATAACTTAGGAGACTTTAATGTTTTGTTCCTTCACATAAAATATGTTAAGTTTATACCTCACTTGTGAATTTTGAAGCTTTTATGTGTTTTAAACATAGCAACAATTGGCTTAATGGGACTGTTAAACTTCATCACGGTAAAAACGAGTCCGCCTTTAGATGTTTCGACCACCATTTCTAGTAGTTATTTGACTTTGGTATATGTGGCAGCGGGGTGTGGTTAGGGCGCCGGCTGCTGGAGTGAAGGGTGTGGCTCGGCCGGAGGCCAGACAGCTGATCGGAATCAGGTAATCAGTGCCGGAATAAAAGCATGTCGTAACCTGGTTCTGGGCTGTTTTGCAGTAGGCGGGATCCTGGAAGGTGACAAAAGGACCTGTGAAGGTTGCCACACGGGCAACGTTGGAGACCCGTGGATACTTTTGTTTGGAGCTAATAAACGCCTGTGTTACACGAACCTGCTCTTTCCGTCCATATTTGAACCCTGCGTGAGCGGAGAGGCTCACAGTATAGTTCGTATCTAGATGAACATTAGCTTTTTTACTTTTACCGATTGAAAACACGCTTCAAAAATGACAAAAGTGTTTTTGTTTTGTTACCCAGGTGTTCTCTGAGGGCCTCGGCTGCCGACACTTCCTGAATCACGGCATCCAGAGACTTCCTGAGGTCCTCCAGCTCCTGCAGACCAGAACCTAGACCCCGAGATATCTGCTGCACGTCCAGCTGCAGCGTGGAGAGGACGTCCTCCTGCCTGCTCAGCGTCCTCTGAAGACAGACAGACAGGTAGCATGATCAAAGTGATGCAGGATCCAGACTAACTCTTTCTACTGTCTCACTTTCAATCATACACAGACAGCTTCAACCGAGGCCTTTACCTGGATTTCACAAGAGGTCATGATTGAAATGCAGCAGTCATTTGAACAAAAGGGACGACTGTGACCTATGAGGTGTGAAAGGATTTATTCATCGTTCTTACTAAATAATCTGTCAAAGCCTTGAAAGGGTCTAATCTTTTATTTCCAACATAAGTCTTGTTTTTCTTTGACATGATTTGTAAAGACTCCAGGATGTGTAGAATATACAGTTTTTTGATGTTGAGGATTTGAGAGGTTATAATGAAAGATTCAAGGGTTTTTGTTTCACTGACAGCCAATTTATATTTTATGTGATTTGTGTGAGAAATGTTTGTTAAACATTCACCCTCCAGACTTCATGGTTTAAAAAAGATGTTCTGTTTCTCTGAGTTAGATCAATGTTCAGTTGATTTGTTTCTCTTTATCAGTATTTCACAGACTCACAGATGAAATCATGGTGTAGCTAAATAATGATCAGTAAGAGTGTATCTGTGTATGGACCTGCGCTGCAGACACGATGTGTTCCTGGCTGCTGTTGTGTTGCAGCAGCGGTCTGATTTGCTTCTGCAGGCCAGCGAGAAGCAAGCTGTCCGTCTGCAGCTCGTTCTGCCTCAGCAGCGCCGTCTCCTGGAGAACCTCCACCTGACCAGAGATGAACACTGAGTCAGAAATATCAACAAATGTTTGCAAAAATGCAATCTGTGCTGAGCAAAGGCTTTCGACTGCGATGTGTTTGCTTCATAGAGTATGTTTTAAGTTCAGATTGATGAAATAAGCAAGTGTTATTACGGATTGGATGGATGATACATTTGCCAAAATCTCATCGTGAGCATTAACCCTCCTACTGTCTTCGTTTCCCCCCTTACTTTTGTGTTCGCGGTCAAATGTGACCGGTCCTGTTTTAACTGCTATTACATTAAGACAAAAACCATTCATCATCACCAAATTTCATTTAACACCCTT